AAGGGACGATTTTTCGTTCCCTATTGTTAATTTTCCCTTTTTGGATGGTGATGTTCCTTTGGCACCATCTTACGGTGTTTATATTTCACAGCTTGTTCTTTATGCCCTCGTCTGTTGTGATGTTTTTGATTTTAACGAACGTAATCTATGTATTATTGGTAAATTATTAAGCTAGGGATTTCGTTTCCACAAATTACTTAAAACCTTTACTAAATTCTTCCACAGATATAAAGATTTGGTTTTGAAGTTTGGTTGTACCTGTAGAAAACTTATTTCAAACGGGATTGCATATCCTCATTTTTACGGCAATATTGTTTACCGTGCCCGGAAATTTAGAAACGATCCTGGTAAACTTATCGATCCTTTTAATAAACTTATTCTAAAAGGTTACCAATTCAACACTGTAATTAGATCATTAAATATTGTTTTTATTGGTACTGATATTGATTTTGTTATCAGTAAATTAAAAGCAAACTAAATATTATTGCTATATACATATACACATTCATGGATCTACAATCTGTCGATACCTGTATCTTGGCATTGCACAAGGTCATGTTTTTCTCTGACTGTTTATGACGTCTTTACACTAAATCCATTGGATGTTGGATGTGTACGGATAGATAATTTAGTCTTAGATGAATGATTTTTTTATTAGTTGTTAGTGGCTTTGAACTAGCTGTCAGTAACAACGAATACACTCAGAACTGTACTCCAATCGGAAAGGTAAGCACATCCTTACTGTACAATACCAATAAACATTCGTAACATCTATTGACTCGATTTTCTGCTCTAATTATTTTATTAATATAATGGTAGAAACAATGGTTTCATCTAGTTTAATAAACTCTATGCAAGCATGCCTGAAGACTGTATATGTATATGTCCCTTTTCGTTATTATCAATCTGATAATAGATCTATCAATATACAAATCAAATGTACCAATGCTTCCTGTTGATTGTTCTTGGTGTCATATTTGTTGTTTGGATGTACAAGTACCCGGCCACGTCCACTTGTAATTGTAGTATTTGTTTTTTTATCCATCTGATGAGTTAACTTCAAAGCCTCTTTCAACTGATTTTTATAGTTCGTTCGTATGTTGTACTGTTACACCACTGTCCCAGGTTAGGGGGAGGGTTGGGATCCCGCTAACATGTTTAACCCCGCCACATTCTGTATGTATGTGCCTGTCCCAAGTCAGGAGCCTGTAATTCAGTGGTTGTCGTTTGTTAATGTGTTACATATTTGTTTTTCGTTCACTTTTTGTACCTAAATTAGGCCGTTAGTTTTTTCGTTTGAATTGTTTTACATTGTCATTTCGGGGTCTTTTATAGCGGACTGTGCAGTATGGGCTTTGCTCATTGTTGAAGGCCGTACGGTGACCTATAGTTGTTAATTTTTGTGTCAGTTGGTCCCTTGTGGAGAGTTGTCTCATTGGCAATCATACCACATCTTCTTTTTTATAAACATATATAAGCAAAAGTAGGATAACACATAGCCTGAATTTTAAGACTAAAATCGAATACTACGGAATGAAATTGACTAGATTTACATCTATTGGAAGAAGGATGTTAATGTTAGTAGAATATGTTATGGTTAATGCCTTGGCTCATGATTAATTTTACCACAACTATGTGTAAAATGACATTTTCAGAAGAAAAATGTCATTTTCAAAATAATTATGACGTCATAGTGACTTAATTGTCCAGATCATATCGCCATACTGGTTTATCAGATCATGCAGTAAAAATACGGATAATTTTAAAGGATTGAATGGTTTTACTATTTTTGTATTTGCAGGGGTAAAATAAAACTTCTTACCATGCCTCTTCTTCCTTTATTGATAAGGAAAAGCATATTCAAATTTTATTTGTTTTTGCCTCGGTTGTCATAAAGTAAGCTTCACCACTGTTTGTATAGTTAATCATCAAACAGTACTGAACACTACAGCTCAAGAAAATCCTGAAATTATATAGGGAGCTCCGGAAGGGCTAGGATATCTAGCCCCCACGTTGTCCTACATTGAAGAAGGAAACAACATTACTAAAATTAAAACATTAAATATATTCACTTCACAAATGAGACTGATATAAAAATAAGAAGACGTGGTATGATTGCCAATGAGACAAATACCCAACAGAAACATAAAGAAGATGTAAACACACATGACATAAATGTATTTCACAGATAAAATGCGAACAACATCAAGCATCATCAAATGAACAATGCAAATTCTACACAAGGAAGACATCTTTTTAACTATGAAGAAAGGAATATTCTCTACATGCACAAAAAGGTGAATAATTATATCCTTGACCTACTGAAAGAAAATATGCTTGAAATAATGTGCTTACCATAATATTTTTTCCACCAAGTGTGGTTTAAGTTGTTACGTCCATTACATCAAAGTGAACGAAGTTTGTTTTGATCAAATGTAAAGTTATAATTGCATAATGTAAGGTGCAACTATAATTGTATATTATTGTCTAAAACAAGTTTATAATATACACCTACTGAGACCTGTCTTCTTATCAACTCAAAAATGCACTGGATAATATTAATCTCCCATACGATGCATGTGATATAAACAAACTTTAGTTTTCTGTTTTATTTGTTGTTACGACCTTCCCTGATAACTTTATGTGTACCGTTGTCACATTGATTTCAAAGTTATACTAATTGTCAGATATGACTAATGCAATCGGAGCGGAATGTTCCTACCCTTCCAAAGCACTTAAATTATTGTCGATATACCTTGTAGATCCTATTGCGTAAGGTTTAAGTTTCAAAACAGGTTCTTGTTCCATCAAATACACATATAAATTAGTCTCTGATGCATGATTTTTAATTATTAATTGTTTTGGCTTTTAACTAGCTGTCAGTAACTGCGAGTACTGTCAAATCGTACTTTCTTTTTAATTTGACCTGTTGATACTATTTGTAATGCTTTTTTGGTTATTTAATGTTAACATGGATCTTGTCTATATACCAGCTTTGATTATTTGGTATTTAATTACTACAAATTCTCACTTCTTCGTACTATGAACATCAAAATTATTTCATTTTTCCTTAGATGCTGTTCTTGGACCTGTACAGGAAGTTTTATTTTTCCTTGTATTGTATATTTTTATTGTTGATATTCACCCCATATGTACCAAGTGTTAGATTAGTTTTATTGATATTAAAGAAATTTCTTGGTATTCCTAAACGGAAGATTTTAAACACACAGAAGAAGAAGTATACTTAACAACAAAATTATTTTCATTTACCTGTGTATAATCAATCGGAACTACTCGGCCTTTCTGGTTGCACGAAGAAATAACTGTTATTGTATTGCATAGCGAGAATGGCCGAGTAGTTACGATTGGTGTATAATATGACGCAGGTTTCTTCAAAAGTGATCATTTTCTATAAATTGTTTGAAATTTCATAGTGATATCATACTTTAACTTTGTTTAAACCTGTTTATTTACTTTTGACTTTAATTATTTATTCCTTGTAATTTTTTATTAACTGTATATTTGCATTCAGGTGTCACAGGTCAAATTTATTCGTTCATTGTGTGTTAATTTACGTTTTTTGATAGAGTTAAGCCTTCCAATTGATATTTATAGTGTGTTTTTCTATGTTGTGATGTTATACTATTGTTTCAGAAAAGGGAGAAGGTTTGGTACCACTAAAACGTTTAATCCCGCTGCAAATGTTTGCACCTGTCCTAAGTCAGGAATCTGATTACAGTAGTTGTCGTCTGTTTATGTAATTCATACGTGTTTCTCGTTTCTCGTTTTTATATAGATTAGACCGTTGGTTTTTCTGTTTGAATGGTTTTACACTAGTAATTTTTTGGGGCCCTTTATAGCTTGCTGTTCGGTGTGAGCCAATGCTCCGTGTTGAAGGCCGTACCTTGACCTATAATGGTTTACTTTTATAAATTGTAACTTGGATGGAGAGTTGTCTCATTGGCACTCATACCACATCTTCCTATATCTATAGGCTTGTCGTAGATGCCAAATCTCAAAAGTTCGCCTTTACATTAACTTTAAATTTCAAATCTGTAAAAAATGAAAAAAAATTTACAAAAGATGTCAAAATTCACAAACAATATTAGTTTAAAATTCTAAAGAACTTCTGGACAATTTTAAATCTCGGTCTATTTCTGAAATTAATTCTAACATAACTTTTGATTTTTTAACCCTGTATACCAACATTCCCCATGTGAAATTATAAAATTGTTTTGAATAAACATTGAATGACAAACTTTTTTCTTATGTGACGTTTACATTTTCTGACGTCAGACACGCGAAGCAATGAATGTGGTTTTTAATTTGATAGATGCTTTTGTGCTTTTTTTGTAAATAATTGTTTGTTTTGATATTGTAACACAGTGATGACTGCTGTACCCATATTTTGACTATTTTATTTATAATGTCTGTTTTGTTCACGCATCGTTGTAAATATAACGGAATTTGATAAGACTGTCGTACAAGTGAGAGGTTTAGCGCTATAAAAAAGCAGGTTCAATCCACCATTTTTCTACATTTGAAAATGCCTGTACCAAGTCAGGAATATGACAGTTGTTGTCCATTCGTTTGATGTGTTTTGTCATTTGATTTTGCCATGTGATTAGGGACTTTCCGATTGAATTTTCCTCGGAGTTCAGTATTTTTGTGATTTTACTTCTTTTTTGTTTTTAGACAACACAACAGACTATGCCATGCAGCACACAATTCGTCAGAACAAATAGGCGTACAAAATTAAGACCAAAACGAAACAACGACCAACACGGGGTTCAGAAATTTTGAGTTTTTGCTTGGACAATATGCGCACAAACCTCCGGGTCCCCATTCCTTTTCTAGACCATTAAGGTAGCCACAGCAGCTGTCGATTGAATTTCAATACTGCCGCTTAAAAGAACATAATAACACAGTTTTACCATCTTGTTAAATGTGTACACGCATTTTCAATATTTTTACTTAAACATTTGTAATTAAGAATAATATTGATGATGAAATACTGTGCTTTTTTTATTAATTCTGTCAGTTTGTCTATTTTACAAATTATTTCTTACTTTTAAAAAAAGATCATCTAATGAATAATATGACCTTGATAAAGAACATATTCGAGTACATATGTGACCCGCCATGACATTTCCAGGCTTATGGCGGTAAACGTCATAATGAGAAAACGTCAATGTAAAGTCACGTAACGTAATCGGGGCATCTGATATTGATTGTTCAATTATATCATGCGGTAAAATAAAGTTTCATTTTTTCTTGACTTGAGGAAATTTGAATCTTATATTAAAATATACAAGACAAGTAGATTTTTTCGTAAAGTTGGTAATTTAGGTAAAATTCCCGTTTAGAATCGCGTTCTAAATTCACACAATCTATCTTTAAGATTTCATTGCATTGATCTGAATTAAAATTAATTCTCAAAGGGGCCTGAAAATAAACTTTAGATCATTGTAGGTATTTCAAAGTGCAGTGTTTATATTTTTTTCTATTTTATTACTAATACAGATCGCAACATGAACACCAAGCTTTTGGAGTAAATATCCTTTTTCACATCATAAGGGAAAATAAATTGGTATTCACTTTCTTAGCATTGCTATAGTTTTCATCAAGAAAGAAAGATGTTTAAGTCCTTATTATTAAGTCATCATTATTTAGATTGCAGATTCCGGTACATTGTTGATATGGCAACCGAATGGTTGATATAGAAATAAAAATTCTTAAGTTGTTTTGTCAAAAAAAAAACAAAAACAACAAAACAAACAATATGAGACGTTTCAAAGATAACTATAATAGATGAAAATACATGTGAAAAATTGAAGGAAATGAAAATGTTTAATAAAATCTTAATTATCTAAAATTACTATTATTCTGTTATTTTGAAGAATCTAGCAAAATAACTTGTCAGGGTGTTTTGAATCTATGTATACTTTACAAAAATGCAAAAAAACTCATTTTGACCCTGGTACCTCCATAAGCCTGAAAATCTCGTGGCTGGTCACATATAAGCAACCTGTTGGCATTATCGTCGACAATTAAACATATAACATATATATCATTTTTTGTAGTACTAGCAACAACGGAATTATAATCATTATAAATTAAAAACTGTATTTTCAATAGTTTGAAAGGTTTTGTCCATCTAAATGTATCAGGAAAAATGAATCTGTACACATATGTCACAGGTCGCTGACTGTAATATGTATATAGTATGTGCTATTGTTGTTTCATATTTGTAATATACTGTACAATATATTTTTTCTAACATAATGAAAGTTATATGTCTTCGAAATTTATCATCGGAAGCAGCAGGTAATTAACACACGTGAAACATATATGATTGTTGATGCCAGGTACAAGATTTTGACTATTATCATACTACATCACGCCCTATTTGATTATTCAGAATTCGTATTTACGGTATGTTATAACAATCATGTTATACACAGATAACTAACTATGTCAAATCAAAGACCTCCGTACTATTGGAAGCGAAATACCTCAATTTTCCTCTTGGCCTACATGTTTTGTCTGATAAATGTCCAGTTTTCAAATCCCTTTACCAATGAAACGAAGACACAACCAGACGTAAGATAGTATAGCTTTGATATATCAAAGAGCAAGTAGTGACCATTTACTATTTACTTCGTATTATTCAAATTTTATTATACTACTGTTTCTTCTTCTGAAATACTTCCTAATGATTTCCTATCAATGTCTATACTGCTATCCAGTGATTGTCTATCTGCTACAATACAAGCTTGACTATACGACGGAGGTAGTTGTATTAGTGAAAGGTTGGAATATGTTGGTGGCAATGTCCCTTCATTTTGTGCAGTGTTCTGTCGAGCCGTGTCTTCATACTGTACGGAATTCAATTCTGTAACTTAAACATCAATCATACTATAATTATTTATTGTATCGGTTCTTATTTGTTCGTATTGTTTCTATTAATGAAAATTAATAGCAGAAACTTTAGTATGGAACACTGTTTTGTTCATTTTTATAATACTAAGTATTCACCTCATCAGTTGGGGACTATCTCCCAAATGGGTTATAATAAACCATTTGCGATATTATAGCCCAAATGTTATATACATTTTGAATATTTGTTTTATGCAAAATATCCTATTTTTTCGATTTAGCAAACATATTGAAAAATGCATTTGTTTAGGTCTATAGTAGCAAATTGTGGTGAGCGACTTTTCCAGAAAATGAATAAGTCTTTAGATTGATCCCTCTAAAACACAGCATTTCCAATGAATCCAACTCACAAACAACCAGATATTCAGAAAATGGCTAACCAAAAGCTGTTGCCTTTTATGTAATCACTTGCACTATGCATTATTTTTCCATTAATAAAAAAAAAACAACATTTTTTTGGCACAGTAAATTCATATCCCATTTGGAGTATTATATCCAAAACGGGATATTATAACCCATTTGGGAGATAATCCCCTACCTGTTCATCAGGAATGACAATTTTGGATATGTTGGATTGGTAGGAAAAAAACCAAGAGAGTCTGTTTTTCTTGAAACTGATATTTTTTGGCATTAAGAACAATAAATGACTGTCTTTGATATAAATATTGTTTGATATTTCAACAAGATTCCTTTTTGCATTCAACTGTTTATTTTTAGATATATATAAGTCTACATACGTATACTATTCATTCTTGAAAGTCTATGTTTACACAGGGTCTTGAGACAACACAACAATAATACTAGAACTGCTGATATAACACCAACAGTGGCAACAACAGCAAGAACAGCAGAACTTGAGGCCATGAAACATAACCATTATAATGGTATCATTTATTATTGGTTGTTGAACGAAAACTTTGTCTGTTATTCACATTAATGGTTTTTCTGTCGAAGTTTACCGAATGTGACCTTGAAAAACAATCACGGAGAACGCGAAAAGTAAGTGAAGTAATGGAGTGATATTAATTGTTTCTTTTGTATTGTCTATGCGTTCCATTTGGTCAATTAAACTTTGTCATAACAGTATTTAAATGATTTGGTGTATATAATGTTTCTTTAAGAATCGATTGATAATATCATCTTTAATCCATATTTGCTAACCTTTTTTTCGTTACGGTTATTCTCTTCCAACTTGCTCTACGTGAATCCCGAATTTCCTACGAGATATCTGAATGTTGAGGTCACTGCATACGAAAAAGCTATTGGCGAATTGGAATACATGAAGACAATAATTCAATTCAGTACATTTTTGAAGATTTGGATAACATAAAGAAATTTCATTTAAAAGAAAGTCCACATGTCTTATAGTAAAAAATAGCCATTCAAGTTTATAAAATATATTCAATTTTGGCTTAATCTAAGATATCCTATGACAAGTATGTATATTGCACGATTGAACATTTTAAACAGACCACCACATGTTGTGCATCAACTAGTTATGTTATTGGCTCAATGTATCTGGGTTTGTTTTGATTGTTTTTTGCTGTTCTTCGTTGTTTGTACGGGGGGATATGGTCAATTGTAATATCCAATATTTGTAAGTACTTTTATCAATCTTTTTTATGTATTCTTCTATAGGTCCGTTATCTTAATTGGCAGTTTAAAAAAAGATAGAAGTTTAAACTAATTTTATCACTAAAAAAATACAAAGAACCGTACGAAATATATTCAATTAAGATTGCAAAAAGTTGTAATGGTTTGCTTTCCAGTTGATTTTATTTCACACGTTTTCGTGTCAATGATCTGTTTATTGTTGATTTGTTCATTAAAAAAATAGGTAAACATGCATTGTTGAAGCCAATGTCTGTTTACCAACGTTACGAAATAATAAACAGGAGTTAATGATAACAACATGTTATAAATTGATCCGTTTGGAGGACGGATTTTCAACAAACAATCGGCAATCTTTTTCGAAGCAACTGTGCTCCTCTTCTTGTCGAATTGTTTATCTATTCGTATGGAACAGACTTCACACCGGAGCTTCTTAGGAAAAATGAAAATATACTAGCATTATCCCCCAACTTCACATTCCGATATAAAGATATAGATGATGTCCTCTAAAAGAACGATTTAAAGTTTTGTGACTATGTTAAACGAACCTTTCTAATGGAACTTGAAAGAAAGGATATTATAGCTACAGTTAAGACAGCCTCATATCTGGGCTTACAGCTCGAAATTAACTATTAGGGTCGGCTAAGATCAAATTTGTACTTCAAAGGGGATAATTTCAACTCCTCAATTCGGAATTTTCCATTTCTGTTTAAAAACATGCCAGCAGTGACTGTATAGGGAGTATTTCTTCCAGTTGAAACGATAATCTAGAGCTTTTGTTTATTTTCATGATGTTCTTAATAGAGCGTTTCTGCTTCAAATCAATTATTGATCTAAGAGTTCTAAGTAGAAAAGATAAGGTCAGCCCTTTGAAAGTTTTACGGACGTCATCACGACTTGATTGACCATTTACTAGTATACGGGTAATCTGCGTTACAGATGACCCCGAAACTCTTCTAATTGTCTTTACCACAATTCTGTCTTCTTTTCCCCCGAATGAAAATTATTACCGAATTTGTATATATTTACCATGAGGAGCATTACGGGTGCCGCTAGCGGAACAGACTATTGTGGTGCACCTGAGATCACCCCCGTTTTTGGGTTGAGTTCGTGGTGCTCAATCTATAGTTTTCTATGTAGTATTAATAAGACCGGTTTATCTTTTCGTCGTCTTTTGTCACGTTTTTAAACGGTGTCAGTTCTCTTCAATTTTCGAGACTTGAATGTCAATTTGGTATCTACCGTCTCTTTTGTTTTGTATGTCTTATTTTAGGAATGACGTTTGAATATCAAGCTTTTTTAAATATATCACTTGGGGGAAAATGTCATCTGCAACAAATTGTGTCTCTTTTTAAAAGTAAACACGATCATATTGAATCCAACGAATGGTAAAAGGTACAAGTATGACTATAGCGTTTAGAGAGAAAACAGTTATATAATTTCGTGAAGAGAATTTCTTCTATTTTTAAGGAACCAATACATTTTGCAAATGGAACCTGAACCCGCTGCTCGGCAAAAGGTCAGTAATATTAGAATTACGTATTCAAACCAACCCTTGTTTAGTGACTTTACAAAGTTAAAGTTTTATAGTAGCAGTAATCAATTACACCCATTTAATATCCAATATCTGCATATTAAACGAAAATGTTCATTTCTATAATTCATTTTTTTACCCGATGACAATTTGATCAAAGGTACTTCTGCAATAAAATTGAGAATATAAACGGGGAATGTGTCAAAGAGACAATAACCCGACCAAAGAGCAGAAAACAGCCCCAGGCCACCAATTGATCTTCAACACATCGAGAAAATATAGTATGTACAAGCTTCTTATGATTTATAATACAGCAGACGTTGTACTTCGTTTTATTTTTATGTAATGTTATCAACTAGCAATGTTAATTGATAACTTGGTTTTTGTAGATATATCTATTTCAAGTGCTTTTTCTGTACTTTCATCTTTATACTTTGTGTTACGGTATTCCACTGATCGAGAGTAATTTAGAGAAGAACTAGGAACTCAATCGCTGCACTAGTATATGTATTCACATCATTGTATCTGGTCTATAAAAGAACAATTTTTTTTTGGTTTTATTAGTATAAATCTTTATGTTTTAATATGTTAGAAGGAGACCCAACATAGACTTCACTAAAAGACGGGTGCCCGTTCAGGCGTTTTGTGTTCATGGTAGTAAGTAATTGATAAAATTGAATTAAAACTTGTCTAGCAATTACAGTCTATTATCTGGTATAGGTACTTCTACATTGTTGACGACCGAACATTTGGAATCAATTATAACCTCTCTTCAATACGGTAAGAATCTGTCACAAAATTGTTCTCGACTGTTCTAGACCAGTTCAAGGGTAAATCAGTAAGTATGTAGAACAATTCTTAGTGACGTTATTAAAAGGAGCTTATTGATTATGATTTGAAACAGAACTAGTCTTGTCAAAGTAAACATAATTTCCAGGCTGGCATTATTCGACTAACGTAGCTATGTTTGCCATATGGTGATAACTGTTTTTCATGATGTCACAGAATCATTGATGCTTTCCCCATTGGGCGTTAGGCATGCAACACTCACTCAACATATTCATACACACTTTTAGATGTGGCTTTCAACACTGTTTTCTTGAAACCTGATAGACGTTATTTCAGGAACAAATTCAAATGTGTTTTACTACCACGTGCACTGGAATGGTGCCTCTTCTTTTGAACAATGATTACAGCTCTTCGTTACCAGCATTATTTAAATAAATAAGATAAATATTTTGCTTGTAAAATTCCATATTTTATTAAGTTTCTGTAGAAATATTACGTACCAACGTCCTCAAACGAATTTGACTTTGAACAATTTTGGTTGCGACTTTCAGGTTCCTTTGTGTTGATAAACTATCATACATTTTATACGAAGATCATTTGAGTATTGTTCTTTTCTTCCTGTGGAGTTTATCTTCTTCAATCCTCGGTTCTCTCTGTCTCCAGGTTAGACAAATGATTGTGAAGTTTTTGCAATAACCAAGATGTATTGAGAACACTATAAATGTATTTCACAAATTCTCTTGTTGATTTTCCTGTACATCTGGAAAATTAATAACATTGTTCGTACTTGAACTCGAATATGATTCGGTATCACCAGGTTGAACCTCAAAACTAGGGTTTATCTGTCCATCAACAATGTTGTCTTCTGATCTTGTATATTCAATTACACAAGCCTGACTGTAAGATGGAGGGATGTGCTGAGATAAATCAGAATATGCTGGAGGTAGGGTCCAAACTGACGTTTCTTCACCTATAGAAAATTTAGGAAACGAGAAAGATTTATATTTTTTAAAGTTTTGCACGATAAATTATTGTTTAAGTCCAATATGACAAGACGATATTTAACAATATATAAAGAGAGAGAGAGATAGAGAGAGAGAGACAGATGAGAAGTACAAACAATAAAGTAATTAAATTAAGTTTACTTTTGTAAAAGAAAAATAGTTTTAATGATCTTGTTCCATTTTCATATATCCATAAAAATATAGTTTTGAAATTGCCTATAAATTTCTGTAATTTAAAGATGACATATCAAATGAAGATATTTCTATTATGAAACGACATTTACACTGGGTATGCTATGAAATTTGTTTTATGTTAATACATATATATTTAGAAATTTGATTCTGCAAAGTTGACATGTGAGAGGGTAAGCTAGCTATAAAACCAGGTTTAGTACACCAATTTCTACATGAAAAAAAATCCTGTACTAAGTCAGGAATATGACAGCTGTTTTCAATTCGTTTAATATGTTTGAGCTTTTGATTTTACCATTTGATAAGAGACTTTCATTTTCCGAGTTCCTTGGAGTTCGGTATTTTTCTTATTCTACCTTTTGCAGAAATCAGAACAAACTAATTTTTACTTTACATTGTTACTGATTTATTTTCAGTATGTTACATAAAAAGTATATTTATCTTATTCATTATTCCTTTTGAAATTACTTTTACATACTTGTGTTAAGATCCGAGGAAGCTCTGCGTGCACATGCTGCCTTAATACAACAATATCCCATCAATGAAAAGAGAAATAGTATTGCAACCACGACGATAACTATAGATTCAGTGGACCCGTTGCTCATGTGAATGAGTAAGTTAACTTATTATGGATTAGTTGGCCATCTTAAAAAGAAAATAATACTTAAAGACATCATAGAGATATTCACTTTCTCATCACATGGTGGATTTTCTCATTGACAATCGCATCACACCTGTGTATTTAATAATATAATGAATTTGTAGAAACTTATATTATTGATACTTCATTTTGTGTTGTTTTTGTCGACTTCAATAAAATAAATACTATATAAACATTTTGTTTGAAAACTTAATAAGGTATTGCGATTGTGGCTTTTGTTTTAATTTCTTAATTAGTATAACTCATGAAATACATTTTCCGTAAATCTCATAGATTTGACATACACAAAGTTTTGTTTTGTTATCGTTTATCCTATGAATTAGGAATGTCTACATTTTTACATCCAGCTGATGCACATATTTAATCTGTCCAAGGAAAATTCAACCTCCATTATTTTTTGCTTATTCATCAATATCCTACACTAGTAAACGAATTTCAGTCTGAAACGGTCTTTTGATCTGGACATCAAATGAAAAGTTGGAACAATAATTTATTAATTCACATTCAGTCTTTTAGTTAATATTTAGATTTATAGACCGGTAATTGCAGTGCTGTTCAAACAATTTGCGGGTAGTCAATTCAGTACTGTCATGAATGTTCAGTAGTTTTTCAGACAATTCAGTATGTAGTTAATATAAACAGGTAAATAACAAACTACTGAACAGATCTAAAAATATAGGCGTGATATCGCTTATAATGCTGTTAATATAGTTGATTGGCTATGAGGTTCGAAATTCTCCAAGACCTTGCTTCATAAATTTCCGATGAAGTATGCTTAACAACGCTGATGATACAATTACAAGGGGAATAAATCCTTTACAAATAGTTGATTGGCACTGATTTTTTTTAACTCAGGCGGGGTATTACTGATACACACCGATACAAACCTTTCAAATAGCTTTCATCAAACTCTGGTACACTTACAAAACCGGATCGAATGGACGCCCCGTGCTGCGACGGGGGACAATAGAACGCTGTTAGGACAATCAGTCTACGGTTTCACAATACACTATACCATTATTCCTTTTGGTGATATCTGCATATTAAGTAGCCAAACGTTTCTATATTTCCGGATGATGTATAAAATTCTACGCATTAAAATATTCTAACTAAATGATGAAAAACATTTAAACATATATGCATTTGTAATATCAGCTTCTTTTAAAATAGAAGTTACAATTGAAAACCTACCTTTTCATACATTCTTTTATGTTTACATCCGAGCACACTTACTAGAGGTATGTGTAACACATTGATATTTTACGCGTCTTAGATATAGATCGAGATAAGTTAAATGTTATGCAAATATGTTATCAGTTCATACAGTAAGTTGATAACCACACTACAGTTGTGTTTGGTTTTATCATTTTTGGTCATGACCATTTATATAAATTCCTAGATAAGAACTAACACAAAAAGTCCTCCGTTACCCATACCGACGTTGCTAAATATCAAGGTTGTAAGCTATAAAATTAGTTATGACAGTAGTAGTACTAGAAGTCATGGTTGTAGTACTTTTAGTAATGTTATTGATGTAAATTATGCTTTAATACAAGGTGCAACTATACAGATGAAAAATGGTCACCGGGATTTCTCTTTCCCGGATGTTAGGCCCATAATCAGGAGGTTTCGGTTGACTGATCTGTGTGTGCAAGCAGTCGCTCCCGATCCGAATAGAACTTTGGATTCAAATTATTTACTAGTGTTGCGATAGTGCCGTGTTTTCATCAAGACAACGAATCTCAAACTTGTTGAACCTTCCGAATGTTAACTGTTGCAACTCAAAATTTCCTGTCCAGATCTATCGCCGTTCATAATGGTCGATGTGTTCGCAAACCTCTTACATATTGATTTATTATTGAAGTTCTCGTCTCAGACTTGCATGAAATACTCGTAACTAGACGTTTGAATATCCATTTAATATTTACCGCTGGACGTAAATCAAAAACATGTCACACAACCAATTAAATGAAAACGAAAACTGACTGACGTACGTCTGCAATTACATTGTACTTTTTCCTCAATGCTAAGAAGTCGAAATAATTTACAACAAATTACCCATGTAAAATTACCACAACAAAGCAAATAAAGCAATAGACCATGTCATGGATTTTATAAATACATGTATAGCTAGCTAGTGGCACTAATCTTTTAATTTGTAAGTTACAAATGTTTAATTCTAGCAAATATTTCCCTTTTCATGCCATAATGTTTTTTTTTTTCATTTTGATACTCTTTTACTCTTTAGTTTGTCATGTTTTGATTTGTATATTGTTATTTGTCCCTTGATCGTTTTTCGTTTTTTCCTTGGCATTGTCAGTTTGTTTTTAAATTATGAGTTTGAATATAACTTTGGTATCTTTCGCCTCTCTTTTATCTGTTGAAACTTTTTATCTTCTGTAATGTACATAATATTCAAAATTATCAGTTTTCTTGAAGTCATCCATTCGGACGTTTTACAGGCACAATCGTGGACTAGGTGACCGCTTATATGGAATATCTGTGTCACAAATGACTGTATATGTTCCAATTTTCCTAGATTGTGACAACACTCAAAGATACTTTTAAAACGAATTTGTTTTTTTTTTACTTTGACCAGCACGACGTGTTTCTTAGTCGTTAGTTTTTAAGAATTGTTTTGTAGACTGTTGCCTTTTCGTCGTCTTTCTTTTTTGCAATGATTTAATCTTTCTCTCTTCGACTTTTGATATTTTTCTGATTCTCCCTTCAGTATCTTCTGCCATTTTTCTCCTTCTAAACTTAGATTATGATGGTAGCTTAAAAGTGGAGGTTGACTGGAAATACTAGTTATCTATTTATGTTATTAGTCGAATTTAACCAAGATTTGGATAAAAAATAAATGTTACATTGTAAATATCATAAATATGTCTTTGATGCACTCACCTAGGTCCTCTCATTTAAACTCAGTCACTCTACGGCAATGTGTACTGAAAAGTGATTACGTTGTTCATACTCAGACTGGAATTTGATCCGGTATCATAATACCTGGATCTCTAATCCAGGATTTGTTTGTTCGGTAAAAATATTGTTACCCGAATTTCTATACCAAGTCATAAGACAAGATTTGTGGTATGTCGGAGAGAGGTGTTGCGACAAATCAGAATTTGCCGGCGGTAGTGTCCATCAGACATTCTCATTATCAGTAATTGATGTTGTAGTGAAATCCCTCCACATATGACATTTAAATACAAATTAAAATCTATATAATACAGATTAACAGATGGCAGTTGCTTAATTCTATTGTAAAAGTCAGACCGGTTTAACATTATTCTCTTCTTCAAAGAAATAATTCTTTATTTTCTATCAAGCAAAATTAAAACATTTTTAGTCTACACTGTAGGATTTGGCTATCATTTTAGATCATTTTTGGTCATTTAGATACCAACTATTTCGGCTCTTATACATCCTTGGCCTTCCAATATTCCGCTATGTGCATTCCTGATGAAGATAAATCCAGAAAAGCGCTGCGGACGCATGAACTTTAGTGTTATTTCATTTTTTTTCTGTAAATGAAGAATATCTCGTGTATTTATTTCTGACACACATTTGAAAAAAGGATATACGCTTGCTTTTATAAGGAAAAAATATGTGGCAAACATTACAATATATCTCCATCACTGGATAATCTGTAAGACTGTTTTTAGATCTATGTCCACAGACGAGTTTTATGATGACTACAAAAACAAATATGATTATTATTTCTGTTTACTTTTTATTAAACAATTTCGTAGATTGCCCTGCTAGTGGACGTTTCTTCCCCGATCAACAGGCCAGTAATCCTTTGCTGACATGAAACTTCATTGATTTGGTCATATTCGGTAAATTTAATGCTCATGAAATGTTGAACTAAGGTTGTCTTCCCAAAGACATGAATCACCATAGCTAGATTTGTCATAACTTTTTTTCAAATTTTTGTTTTTATTGGCACGTCAGTGAACATTTAAACACTAAGCTTACTAGAATTAATTTTCATCTGCAATCAAAATTGTATTTGTTATAACATTAAAAAGTATGTGTCAGCTATATAGGTTTGATTTGTTGTCACTTCTTGTTTTAAATAATTTTTAGACATTTTAAAGGCCCTTTTGCACTAATTTAAAAATATAATAAATTATTTTCTTTTTCAGTATCAATAGTTGTATATTATGAAAAACAAAATGCTAAAATTTGCTTTTAAACTGACCTCTGGTCTTTTTTCTCAATAAGACAAATTTGTGGACACCTTAGAAAAATCAAAGTCTATATCAATAAGTGCATCATGATTGCTAAGAAAATACAGATAAAACAAAATTTGAAATACACAAAAATAAATAAGGAAACAATGGCCTACTTTTCAAATATTTACTTCCTTATTTGTGTAAACAAGTATACTCTATACGCAGACACGCAATAAGTTGTTGATAATGTTTGAATATTATAAAATGCGCACATTTATTTCGTTTTAAACTTAACCAGTATAAATGTAGGTAAAAAATAAGTTTCCTCATCAATACTCAACTGTTGACGGAGTCTTTCTTTCTATTTAGTTTTTTTTATATAGATCAAAGCTATGTATAACAACCTTTTGACAGTGCATTATATGGATTGATTGAAATAATACGACATAATATAAGTCAACAATAATCTTATATATATATATTTTGTATACATCCCTGGCTTTCATAAGCTTATTTTTTAGCGTTCCTGATATAGGTTAATTCATAAAAGCACTTAGGTCGCACGAACATTATAAAGTGTGAACTTATTTTCAATAAATTTTGAAAACATTTGGTCTTGTAGTTTCAGATGACTTTAAAAAAAAAAAAATCAGAATCAACATGCATTACGAGCACATTTTGTTTGTTTGAATGGAATAAGATTTTATTTTTCATGATATTACATAAATAAGAAATACCTTACGCACATTTACTGTCTATATAAATAAGAGGATGTGGTATGAGTGCCAATTAGACAACTCTCCATCCAAGTCACAATGTATAAACAGTAAACAATATAGGTCAAAGTACGGCCTTCAAACACGCAGCCTTAGCTCACACAGAACAACAAGCTATAAAGGGCCCCAAAATGGCTAGTGTAAAAAAATTCAAACAGGAAAAACAACGGTCTAATCTATATAAAAACGAGAAACGAGAAACGAGAAACCACATTAACAAACGACAACCACTGAACAACAGGCTCCTGACTTAGGACAGGTGCATACAAATGCAGCGGGTTTAAACGTTTTAACAGGCGCCAACCTTCACCATAACCTGAGATAGTAGTGTAACATTACAACATAAAAAGACACATTATAAAATATGAATTGAAATGGCTTAAATCGATCTAAAAAACATATAAACTAAAACCATTTTCACTGAACTAGTACACCCTTTAATTAGGGGCCAGCTGAGGACCACCTCCGGATACGGGTTTTTCTCGCTGCGTTGAAAACCCTTTGGTGGCCTTTGGCTGTTGTCTGCTCTTTGGTCTGGTTGTTGTCTCTTTGACATATTTCCCATTTCCATCCTCAATTTTAAACATACACTGAACAAACAAGTTTGCTCTATGACATAATATAAATACAATATTAATAAAAAAAAGATGTAGCAACAGTGTCGAAAAGACAACTCTAACCTGGGACAAAATGGCGTTAAATAAAATAACGTACACAGGTTAATTTAAATATAATAATTTTGTTGTTAAGAGTACGGAAACATTTTTTACAAAATCAATAAATTTGTTGTTCACAGTACGAGTACAGAAATGAAAATTTATCGTCATACTAAATACTCACCAAAGGTGGTACCTAAAAAATTAGTGAGACGAGATATAACACGAAATAAGAAAACATTGAATTACAGAAATGCATTACAAATAGTGTAAACAGGTCTAATTAACACGTCTAGTTTAGTGTAGTTTTACCTTGTAGTTTCAGATAACAATGCGGATGTGAACATTTAACGGACGTACAGACAGCGGAACGACAGTGAAACATGGACCTCAAAAGACCAAAATAACCCCCACAGCATTTCGTTCAGAATTGGTCACTCCATATCATAATTTGTTATTTGATAAGTACCACATGTTTTGTTTCACTGATTCACAGCTTGAAACGCATCTAATAAGACTAATTACAAAAAAACAAGTGCAATGGTTAAAAAAAAAACAACTGTATTCTTACATTTTCATCAAAAAATGCATGTACGACTGAATATTCTGAAATGGTAATGGACGCACTCAAGGAAATGACTTACGTGGTAGTACAGTAAGAACTCAACAAATTTTAAAACAGTCTCCAAAAAATGTCCGTTTAAACCAGCAGACGTTTGTCGGATAGTTGATAAAATAATATAACAGAGCTAACAAGAGGAAGATAACAAACCAATTGTGTTAAAATAAGAGTCAATAAAAACAAAATACAGAAAATACGAACATGACAAAGAAAATGAAAACAACACGTTCTAAATTTATTGCGTCCAAAGCGCTTTTTTTGGATTTATCTTCATCAGACACGCCCAAAGCCGATACGCTTCTCCAAAAAAACAACCGGTAGTCGAACAACAAACCCAAATTACTAAAGCTCAATGCAATACATGCTCGTTTAAACCAGTTATACCAGTGTATATACATTGCAGATATACGATGACAACTTCATATAATTTTTGTTCAAATGATTGTATTCTAGGCTGAATACAATTCACAATAAGTTTATGAAGTATGACAGTGAAAGGCATAAAACAAGACAATTCCATAAAATGTATTTAAAGTATACATTGAATAAACTATCTCTCTTTTTAATGGCTTTGCAACACATTCTACACAATGTATATTTCCTGTTTCCTATATGAGAAATATAAATGCATACATTTGTGTACTAGTAAGAGGATCAATACAACCACCTTGTCTTGTCGTAAAACGTAATCCACAATGAAACGCTCTCTCTTTACGTCAGGAATGAATGACATGTCTTTGCAGTTGAGTGTATAGACTTGTCTATTGTTGAGATTTACGGTTCTTGGTTATTTGTGTCGTTGTGTTAGTCTCGAAGACGTATACCCAACATCACTTTTTATTTATGTGAAATTGACGATCGCAGTCAATAAAACGAGATTTCATTCAATTTGGTGAAGTAAAATTGGCATTGCTTAAATTTATTGTAAATTATGACCTACTTAATAAAAGAACTGCTTTAAAAGTGTAGATGTCATACCGAAACTGTTTGCAATGAGGCATTATTTCAACTCTGTAACACAAAGTGTTTTGACCATTTTGTCTACAACTAGTTTGGTTTTCATTTCCCATTTTGCATTATATAAATCAATCCCAGTGACATGGAACTACGTTAAATGTTTATTAATACCACTAACACATTCGATTTTAACACATCCTCTACTTTCGTGATATTATACAAAATTAAGCAATTATAACCGTACATAATAGTATAGTCATCCTTTTTTAAAGAATTAAATGCAAAACATAAATGAACTAAAAAATGTGTATTTAGTTTTATTTTAAAACAATAATTGTAAACAATGATTATAAAAAATAATGAAATATCACATTTTCGATTGAATTTCTATATCTGCCTTAGTATTTGAATTAGGTATACCGATATACTTTTCTTTCTGTATGTCACCTAAATTTGTTTTTGGTTTTTTAGATTTGCAACATTTCTGAAAAATAGACTGCGATTCAAATTTGAAAGTTGGTAAAAATGGTATATAAGAGAAAAACTTGTATCGTCGTAAAAAAGGCATGATAAAAGGTAAGTCATATGTTGATTGATATGTGGTATCATCTGTAGCACCTGTTGTAGATAACTGGTTTCTCCATTTTATTATCCCTCTTTCCTCGTCGCTCCCTTTAAAAAAAGTTAATCAAAGTTATATGTTGTTTTACATCTTAGTTCTTTTGTAATTTTGTTTTACATCTTAGTACAAGTAATTAAGTAATTTCGTGTTGATAATGAATCATGATTGGTAGTATCTTTTCTTGTTTTCAAGATAGTATCTAGACTCGGCTATTTAGACCTTGGATTAAGTTACAGGGGCTATTGTTAAAAATTGGACGTTGTTCCACAAATCACGGTATTGTTGTTGGATTGCTGATGCACTGACCCAATATATCATTTAATTTATAAATATTTTAAAACTCCATTTTCGTGCTTATATAGAGATAAAGTGACTAATAGTATTGAAAGAAAATACCAAAGAAGGTATAACTTTATGGTTTTAACGTTTATACATTTTCAAACCTTGTTCTCTGACATGTCTACAGTACGTTTGCTTTATCAAATACTTTCATATAACATGTTTAGGTTGTCGTTTATATATATTTCTGAATACAGATTACTTTAATGTTTGATTTTAATTCCAATATTTTTCGGATACCATGTTATTGCTATGACATTAAAGTGTAAAACAGTTGCTTTAGATACAGACCTGGAACAGTATTATCTAATATGAAGCCAAGCATTCCACCAACAAACATAGCAGTACTCAATAGTACTGTTAATACTTGGTCTAGTTCAGAATTACCTGCAAAAATAAAATTATAATTAATTTTAACAAGATATGTAGCGATTTTGACACTTCGGGATAGTTGAAAAGAAATATCCTGGAATTAGTCATAATGTTATATACATTTTGGCAAAACAACTGCTGCAAAATGGTTACATTGCAGTTCATTTTGGTTTTCTCTTCACAGTCCTAGTCCCGGCATTGGCTTGGAAATCAAAAGCGACTACTGAAATTTATTTGTACTCGCTACGAAACAAATGAAACACATGATACGAGTGTCGCTTTTTATTTTGTTTCTTAGGCTCGCAAAAAAGAATGTAATATCTCTCTCTCAACGTGGAGGATCTATTGGGGTATCTCAAATTATGTTTGGGGTTAATGTATTAGAGTTGGCTACATGGTTATTGAAGTTTTTGTTATAGAATCATTTTCATGACAGGTTAATATTTTATATCATTGTTTAGTCTTCTTTGTAATTCATAATTTGGTACTGATATTTTTCTATTAATTGTAAACTAAAGATGATGAATCAACCCGACTATAGCCAAATGCAAAATGATACATCTTACTATTAAAAACAGCATGTATTATCCATTTTTAGATGGTGACGTTCCCTTGTCACCATCTTACGGTGTTTATATATCTCAACTTGTACGATTCGCTCGTGTATGTAACAATGTTTTAGATTTTAACGAGAGAAATTTATGTATTACTGAAAAATTATTACACCAGGGTTTTCGATATCACAAACTAGTCAAAACATTTACTAAATTTTATCATCGGTATAAGGACATCATTCGTAAATATAGCTCAACATGCAGACTTCTTATACGTTCAGGTATTTCACATCCAATTTTTTATGGAAATATTCTTTATAAAGCACAAAAATGTCAGTATTCACCTCTGAAGCTAACAAAACCTTTAAATAGACTTATTAAGAAGGGATATAGTTACGATACTGTTGTCAGGTCATTAAAAATTGCATATTTTGGCGTTAATATTGATTCACTTATAGGGTCTTTGCATCGGCACTAAACACATTTATTTAAAAACCAGTTGTTGGCATGACAAGGGTTATTTTCTTCTCATATATGTTATGATGGTATGATACTAAACCCCTAACGGGAAGAATTGTGCCTGATATTCATATGATGAAGACATAATCTTTCAATCAGTTTAATTGAAGTCTGGAGCTGGCATGTCAGTTAACTGCTAGTAGTCTGTTGTTATTTATGTATTATTGTCATTTTGTTTATTTTCTTTGGTTACATCTTCTGACATCAGACTCGGACTTCTCTTGAACTGAATTTTAATGTGCGTATTGTTATGCGTTTACTTTTCTACATTGGCTAGAGGTATAGGGGGAGGGTTGAGATCTCATAAACATGTTTAACCCCGCCGCATTTTTGCGCCTGTCCCAAGTCAGGAGCCTCTAGCCTTTGTTAGTCTTGTATTATTTTTGATTTTAGTTTCTTGTGTACAATTTGGAGTTTAGTATGGCGTTCATTATCACTGAACTAGTACATATATTTGTTTAGGGGCCAGCTGAAGGACGCCTCCGGGTGCGGGAATTTCTCGCTGCATTGAAGACCTGTTGGTGACCTTCTGCTGTTGTCTGTTCTATGGTCGGGTTGTTGTCTCTTTGACACATTCCCCATTTCCATTCTCAATTTTATAATTATATATAAAATTTCATTTTACCTGTATCTATAGCATTTGCATTTTCTTCAATATAACGTGGAACCATAAGACCTAGCAAGAGTGACGAGCCTATAATACACAGATTTCTGCCAGATGATAAATCAACAAACTGAAGGGTAGAGAGACCAACTGAAGTTACCATTCCAAAACTTAGAACAACAGTACCACCAAGTACTGGATCCGGAAGCAAAGTCAGAACAGCACCTACTTTTCCAAATAGTCCACATATGAGAAATATTATCCCTGCATATTGGAAGACTCTTCTACTTGCATTCTGAAAAAAATAAATGTGGATTGTGTCCATGCATGGACACAGATGATACCCCCGCTTGCATATCATATAAAGATATAAAGAGACATAACTGAAGAACAGTAAAAGTGACTCTACCTAAATTTGTACTTGATCTGAGTTTTGTGGTAATAAGCATTGTGTATAAGTCTCATAACATTTGGTTGAGGTAAACTAAAGTTAGAGAACGGAAACAAATACTTCAGCAATTTTTATGTTTATAAAGGGCATAACTCAAGTAAAAGTGACACCACCCAATTTCTTACTATATAGATCTGTATTAAGTGGTAATAAGTTTCATAGCATTTGGTTGAGGCAAACTAAAGTTAGAGAACTGAAACGGAAAATTCAGCAATTTTTATGTTTATAAAGGGGCATTACTAAAGAACGGTAAAAGTGACACCACCCAATTTCAATCTTGATCTGTATTTTGTGGTAATAAGCATTGTGTATAAGTCTCATAACATTTGGTTGAGGCAAACTAAAGTTAGAGAACGGAAACAAATTAAACTGAGTTTTGTGGTAAAAAGCATTATATATACATTTCATTACATTAATTTAAGACAAACTCAACTTAGAGAACGGAAACGAAAAATTCAGCAATTTTTTCATTTGTAAATGGGCATAACTCTAGAACAGTAATCAAAGTGCTTAAAGCACTGAATGGTAAAGATTGCTTTAATTTATCAGTAGGAAGTGAAATTGAATATTGCATTGTATAAAGCATTGGTTGCAGTTGATTCAACTACCATTATGCACAATGAAAGATAACTCCAATTTTCAAGGAAGACTTTAAAATATTTTTAGAAATGAAGGGTAAAAATTGATTTATTTTATCAGTGGAAGGTAAAATTAAACATTGCATTGTATAAAGCATTGATTGTAAATGATTCAGCTATAATCATGGACAAAGAAAGATAACTCCCATTTTAAAAATACTTGATATATAGAAAAAAAACTGAAAAGTTCAGTAATTTTTCCATTTGTAAAGGGCATAACTCTAGAACTGTAAAAGTGACGGCACCAAAATTCAAACTTGATCTGTATAGTGTGGTAATAAGCATTGTGTATAAGTTTCATAACATTTGGTTGAGGCAAACTTAAGTTAGAGAACGGAAACGAAAAATTTAGCAATTTTTCCATTGTAAAGGGGCATAACTCTAGAACGGTAAAAGTGACGCCACCATAATTCAAACTTGATCTGTATTTAGTGGTAATAGGCATTGTGTATCAGTTTCATAACATTTGGTTGAGGCAAACTAAAGTTTGAGAACGGAAACCAACTTTGGGACGTACGGACGTACGTACAGACGGACAAGGGTAAAACTTAATGCCCCCTCCGCTACGGCGGGGGCATAAAAATTGCATCATATACATATAATTGTATTTTTCTATTTTCAGATACAATTCAAAATACACAAATGTATGAAATTCTGTTTCTACGTTCAATGCAGTATGGTATAACCACATGTGCACCTAGTATATGGAGCCGTAAACCATTTTCTGTCTATGCATCATAATGAAATTCATAGCATAATCTGGAAATCTTTAAACCGTAGAAGAAATTACTGTGTGCCTGTGTAATCTATTCAAACATAAATCTATTCAAACATTTGGTCCCTGGTGAAGAGTTGTCTCATTAGCAGTCATACCACATCTTCTTATTTTTATATATGAATTCATATTTAATTTTACCTTTGTGAATCCAATAGCACCAACATTTTGGCTGTATGAGGTAGTTGCTCCTCCTGATCCAACAGCACCCGATAGTATACTTCCGAATCCTTCCATGGCTATCCCTCGATTAATTGCATGCGCAGGGGGAGGAGGAGCACATGAGATTCTTGCACATGCGTAATAGTCTCCAACAGATTCGATAATTGAGGTAAATGTAGCTGCCATCATTGCCATGTAACTTGCAACACTTAATGTTGGAACTCCCCATTGCCCTAAGGAAAAAAACACCGATATTTTAAATCAGATTACAAAAATATAGAGTCCTTTAATTGTGATGCAAAAAAATGTGATGAAATACAGAAACCAACACCAGAAGCAAAAATCACAAGCTCACAATTTACTATTTAACATATTCTCCAAACCGTTAAAAAGTGTCAAAGGACAGTCATGTATGATATATTACACCAAGATACAAGACTGTCGAGTTTGCACCAGATCGAAAAGGGAGAATTGATAAGGAATTAATGAGGTCGTTAGATATTGGAAAACAATACATTCCTGTGGCACAAAATACTAGGTTCTGTTTGGGACAATATAGAATTTTCATCGCATTTTAGGTACAACACTGTACGTTTTAGTATGAACCTTATGCACTTATTGCTAACATTTTGGAAACGACTCACCCAAAATTCATATAACATTTGCTGTGAGGTGTCATGTTATATCAAACCTTTGGCACATCCTGAATTCTTCGATTTTCTATACAGCACATATTGAAATCTTACAATATTCAACATGGATATTGTCGATTGGTCTATTTATAAAGGAAATTGAATAGGTATGATAAGGTTACTTTTTGGCCTCTTGAATTTGAAATCAAAACGTGTTATAAATCAACCAAACAACATTCTGTGTTCATATAACATCAATCAGTCTGATAATTTGTCTCACATAATTGCAATCAGGTTTTAAACTTTTAGAATTTTGTGCAAAAATATATAAAAAAACGGTCGCAAAAGCTTGGTTTTATAAAAGAATATCCTTAAAAAATATCAGTTTTGGAAGATTATACTTTGGACTGAAGTCCCTCGTCATTTTGACACTGGATAAATGTAAGTATGTATCTTTGTGTGTTTGTGTATATAAGTATTATACTGTTGAAGACAAAAAAAACATAACATAAAAATATCATGACGACCAATGGAAGGATGTATGTTCAGTAGGACTATGATATGCGCATTGTTAAACCTTTTTTTTAATTAAAACGTGGATGTAATGTATACCTATCATATAAAAATATATCTGTACATTATTTATGCTACCCATCACCTTTTTTTTTAAAATAAATTTCATTCTAGTATTTGATTAAATTAAGCTTTGATTTTATTTCAAAGTCCCTTATCAAATGGCAAAATTAAAAGCTCAAACACATCAAACGAATGGAAAACAACAGTCATATTCCTTTGTACCGGCATTTCCTTATATAAACATAATTGTTAAAAATAGTTGTGACTCAATTGTCTTCTATCTCTTTTATTTTTTGCTGTTAATAAAAAGAGTAATACGTCTAGAATCTTACCAGGATAAGGAAAAAAGAACCATTTGGCATTGCTTACTACATGTAATCTAGCGTCTGTCCTCGCTTTGTATTCTGGTAGTGTAGAATTGGACGTAAAGACATCATATTCGGTCAATATTGCAGTTATTGACCAAGACAGCATCACTGCTAGAATCACCTATATTTAAAATAATTTTACTTTGCGTAAGTATAGGGCGGGTTGCATTTTACATTTGTTCATATAATTTCAAAACCTTTTAAAGTAAGGGAATAAATTCACTTCGTTTCCCATTTATAATGATTTTACCCGCTTGGATGTTTTGAAGGCAACCAAGTCATCACCGGCAAACCTCGGTTGTTAACATATGTTAAACTTTTATGTCAGCTTGAAATTGTTTCTCAACAACGATCTTTAATTGCTGTAAAATGATGAATTATGTTATTTTTTTCTATTGATCGACTGATATTCTCAGTTTACTACTGATGTGATATGACGATCGCAAAAGCCTGTCTTATAGGCTGCGCTGCGTGTCGCCAAAATAAATGCATATCCAATTATCTTTGTAATATTGGTTAAGTATAGTAAAGGTTTGATACATTTCTAAAGGAAGGGGAAAGTAACATTGATACGATGACTTTAACATATCGATCAAATAACTGATACTTACTGGAAACAGTTTGAAAACTGGAAATTGAGTGATGAAACATTTCTTCTTTGTCGTCCATGAAGGTATAGGACAGGAAATGTTACGTAGATACAGTGAAAACAGTAACAAGAAAAATATTGTTCTGAAAGCATAAAGCGTATTTGTGATTGTGATTGTAGATGGGTAAATTTATGTAAAACAAAAAAGTATCTACACAAAATTGAAATTGCCATATAATTTTTATAATAAGGATTTATCTTTATTACTACACAGATATTTTTGATGTACATTTCATGATTTATTTTTAAAATGCATATATGACTGGAATGGTTTTAGATAATTCTACAAATGTGTTAATCACCATTAATGCTTATTTTTGGTTAAGTCTGAAACAATTAACAAGTCTTACAAGATTGATACTCCCCAATGGATTTTGCAAAAGTTCAAGGCAACGTCGATCAGGGACAGTCCTACCAAAGTGATTGTTGGAACAACTGTTATTGGTCCTATATACTGCAACAACACGCCCAATATCCCAGTACAACCAATCAGGACTTGTGTTACAGATGCAACGATTATGCCTCCCTGAATCTGCAAACAAGTAAAATAAGAAGATATGGAAAAGCCGCCATTAACAATCGAATGAATGGCGACGAATATCCCACATCTACATCATCTTTGTTTCCCAAAAATAGATTTTTTTAATAGATTCCACCACTGCATCGAGTTTGGGAATTACGATATTTCTCAACTCAAGACCGAACAAATTTCAGCCAAAGTTTAAAAACGCGAGGCTTGCCGAGCGATTTTTATAGTGCAAATTTAACTGTGGAGAGTAGAGAAATATATTGTTGCACGAGATTCGGTGATGGAATCTGTTTCTCTGATGACTTTTAGGCGATATTTAGGTAAACATTAATGGTCGCTTTTTTTGTTAATTCATAATAGCAAATTCAGATGAAAGCAAGAATATTTGACATCACAATAAAAATTTGACTAATGGAGAACTGAGATTAAACCAGTCACACTTTGATTATTAGAAAATAATAACCCGATCGAGGAAAGTATAAAGCGGTCAAGAATTTTACATATTATAACTCATTTAAGAACTGCTACATACAAATGGAAAATTGACAATGGGATAATTGATGTTATCTTTTTTACGTTACTAAGATCAGTTATCAACCGACCCTAACTGTCATTTGGTAGGTAAACAATAATATAAAGCTGTCAAACTGCTTCTTTGGTATCTATAGTTATTACTTCAAGTTCAATGGGAAGATGCAATAAGCATTGTCGCAAAATTTTGAATTATTAAGGGAACGGATAATTCGAACTTCCTTTTATTTTTCTTTGAAACTCCTGTATGAAATCTGTTCCATACAAATTAAAATAATACTGTGAGAATTGGAGCAGGAGTAGTGAATGTCTGGAAAGGCACACTATCACACCAGAATCAAAATGTACAACATAAATAACCAATTACTTTCAACAAAGTTGGGAAATAAGAATCACTCAGTACTAACCTCTCTCATTCTGGTCTGCCACATTTCTGTTACATCTAATTCGGTATAATTACCACTTGTACCGTTCAGTGTCAAATTTCCCGTTAATGCTACAATATAAACTTTAAGGTTCATGTTACGTGTATATTGTTCTCTTCCAATTCATATACTCACTTCTGAAGCCGATATATAATACATGTAGTAATAAAAAAATGTTATTTTAGAAATGATAACAAAACACTTTTTATTTCTTACGTGTATATTGTTCTCTTCCAATTCATATACTCACTTCTGAAGCCGATATATAATATATGTAGTAATAAAAAAATGTTATTTTAGAAATGATAACAAAACACTATTTATAAAGAATTTATCTAAAGTCGAAATTTAGTCCATAAAATGAAGGAGACTTTATATATAAAAAAATTATGAAAATAAAAACTACCTAAAGAAATTGACAGTTTTTACCATTTACATGATTAAAACTTCGGTATTTTTAAAAGTATCTGTACACGACTTAGCCTGACTTATATTGATACATTACCATTATGTATTACTGACTGGGATGGACATTTCCATTTATCTAATGCCATTAATGCAGTAATTGCAGGAATGAACTTATGGCACCCTCCTTGGATTATTGGAAGTCTGCAAAACAAAAACAAACATATAGCATGTGGTCTATCAATAAATTACCATTTTTGTCTTTTTAGTATTATAAATTTACGCATCTTTTATTGTTTTCCTTTTGAAAACATGGTTGTTACTCTTTTTTAATCAATTATTATATATATATCAAGCACGTTCAAGACAATCTGATGTAAATGTATATATCCTTATCCTCGACATATCAAGAATTTAACAGAAATTTTGAAAAATACAAGCAGTCAACACATTATCACTCAATAAACCAGATTATTACAGTGTATATTTTTCTAAATATACATATAGTAAATTCACTGTCAAGAACAAATAAGGTGATCATTGTTTTTAGACCCTGTTACATACATTTGAATTGGTAATGGTAAGCTTCACAATTAGGTTATAATAAACGGGGCGAATTTTGCTGTTTATTTCCTGTGATTATTACACAAGATCATAGGTTCATACACAGTTCATGAGATTGCTGTATGAAATATACTTCCTAATACAGCCGCAAATATAAGAGTTTAAGACGGTATCATCTCTATATCAACAAATAAAACAATTCGAGATTGATTTCAATAATTGAGATATCAACTCATATTCATAATATATTCGCACCACTATTTTTTGAAATCCGCAAATCGACATAAAAAAACAGTGAAACATAGTGCTAAAAAGAATGTTATCCCATCCTACCCCACATGTATGTTGACGTGCCTTTCCAAAGTAAGAATCTTCGTCAGTGGTTACTTTTAGTTACGTTAAATATTTACCGCTAGAAAATTTGTGATCAGGTCGAAGTAGTCTAGAGCCTCGACATTATATATTAACACTATTGTCTAATGTTAAGACTGTATCTTGTCCTCTATACTTTTGCAGGGTGTGTCGTCTCGTTTCACACGAATTAGACCTACCAGCTGATTGAGTGAGATATCTGTACAGCTTAAAATGAAAACACTTGCTAAACTAACGAAATTATCCTGTTACATTGTATATCGATTGTCGTGCAAATGCTATATAATAATAATTTAGATTACCTATATAAAGAGGAATATCGTGAAAAAGCCTGCGTTTTTTTTAATACCACAAAATATCTTTTCACACCTTTTGTGGGAAACCGAAAGCAAATTTAAGATTATAAATATTGACCAATTTGTTGATCTTATTTTGTGAATTTTTTTTTACTATTCAACGATTCTCTCTATCTACAAGTATAACTTTCCGCAAAAATAGATATGATCACAATTCAGGGGCAATAACTCCCATAAACGGCCACTTGACTTGTTTTTATATCTTTTTGGTCTGGTCATTTTTACTTTTAAATGTTTCTCTCTTTTTATGATAGTTTTAAAGATGATAATCAAAAACTGCAAAATTTGCTAATTATTTTACCCTGTGCTAGTTTTATACTTACTGCTTAGTCTTTAATTCAAAAGCATTAAAAAGAAAACCTGCAGTATTATAACCTATGTCCTATTTTTACCAAAAACGGTCATGTTTGTTCATGGTTGTCAAATTCCCGGATACAATTTAAAAATATATTCCACAAGAAACAATCATGTAACGTTTGCTGCCACGTATCCCATTAGTTTCAGACGAGAAGATTAAAAAAAAAAACAGGTCTACAACGACGAACATGCGCGCGGACGACGGAAGCAAAGTGATGACAAAGCTCACATGGGCCCTGTAGGCAAGATTAGCTTAAACCGTATTTCAAATCAAATTGGACCATTAACTGTGCACAAGTTTGAGTGAAAGCAGTTGTTCGAAAGTACGAAAAAACACGATCTTCCATATTCCTACTATATGCCAATACATACCTTACACCAAATGTATCTTGTAGAATGGTACAAATACCACACATGAAAAGGAATGTCGACATTATTTGGGACTTGACCAACTCTAATTCTTCTGCACATATCTGCTTCCCGACAATTAGTGGTATTGAAATGGTTGAACTTATTGCTAGCAATACTTGCTAAAATGGATAAAAATGTTTACAAATTTATGAATCAATTATATATTTGCCAATCTGAATTGGCCCAATAATTAGATATCCATTGATCGGAGTTGTTTCCCATAGGAGGCACATACATTTTCATTGACAAAAGAGAGGGCGGAAAGAACAAATTTATCTGCTCGAAATTTGTGTAACCTTTTACCTTTTTTTCTATATATTACTTTCTTTTTAATATTTTCTTAACCTCTATCTACAAACTTTTGACATCAAAAGTTATTTTTCATTAAAAGTTGGTTAAAACGCCTTCATATAACTTTTAACTTATCATGCTTTGCATGGGCAGCAGCCCATTTTATCAGGTTAAGAACAATAAAATTGAGAATGGAAATTGGGAATGTGTCAAAGAGACAACAACTCGACCATAGAGCAGAAAACAGCCCAAGGCCACCAATGGGTCTTCAACACAGCGAGAAAATCCCGCACCCAGAGGCGGGCTTCAGCTGGCCCCTAAATAAAAAAGTGTACTAGTTCAGTGAAAATGGACGTCACACTAAACTCCGAAACATATAATAGAACTAAAATTTAAAAAAAAAAACAACATACAAGACTAACAAAGGCCAGAGGCTCCAGACTTGGGACAGGCGCAAAAATACGTCGGGGTTTAAATGTTTTGTAAGATCTCAACCCTCCTGCTATACCTCTAGCCAATGTAGAATAAACAAACACACAGCAATACGCACACAGTAAAACTCAGTCTAAAAGAAGTCCGAGTCCGATGTCAGAATAGGTAACAGAAGAAACTAAGCAAAATGACAATGATACATAAATTAACAAAGGACTACTAGCAGGTACTTACATGCCAGCTCCAGACCTCAATTAAACTGATTGAAAGATTATGTCTTCATCATATGAAAATCAAGCACAATCCCTCCCGTTAGGGATTTAGTATCATACCATCATAAAATATATGAGAAGAACATACTAACCCGTATCATGCCAACAACTGGTTTTAGAATAAATGTGTTTTTTTCCGATGCAAAGATCCTACGAGTGAATCAATATTAATTCCAAAATATGTCATCTTTAATGACCTGACAACAGTATCGTAACTATATATCCCTTCTGAATAAGTCTGTTTAAAGGTTTGGTTAGCTTTTGAGGTGAATGACGACATTTTTGTGCTTTGTGTAGAATATTACCATTAAAAATTGGATGTGAAATACCTGAACGTATAAGATGTCTGCATGTTGATTTATGTTTACGAATGATGTTCTTGTACCGATGATAAAATTAAGTAAATATTTTGATTAGTTTGTGATATCGAAAACCCTGGTGTAATAAAATTTCAGTAATTCACTCGACAAAGGGAAACACCTTGTGTGAAAGTATATATGACAAAAGAATCAAATCGATAATTGGCAAATAGACTTTAACGAATACTAATGTATCATTTACGCTATACTCTGTCACTGTCCACCTCCTTAAGAAGGAGACAATCCATGACCTAGTTCTGAGACATGCACAGGTGATCAACATTTAACCTGACCTTGTACATGTACTTAAAACAATCTTCAGATTAAGCAAACCATTAATATTTAAGGTCACTATCGCGTAGCCTTTGCTACAGGGATACGGTGAATGAAGTTGAATGATAAATAAACATTTCATTTTATAAAGTAAATATATTTAAATAGCCATTACTCAATTAAATGGACTATTAATTTCACGTTTTTGACCTCGTTCAAAATTATCAGTACAATGGGAAAATATGTATTACATACTCGTGTGGATTCTTATTTTTAAGAGAATATGACATCAACTTGTCTTTCATGTATGCCGGTTTTTTTCTGCTGTTTTGTTGCCGTCTATATATGTTGTAAGAATAAATCTAATTGGCAAGGCATCTGTATGAAGGCTGTTTGTCTGAAGGATTATTGTAATACTTATCTTTTTTGATTTTGTTTCTTCTCATTCTAACTCTATTTTAAATATTAATAATTGTTCCAAAAATCTTTTACGATCTTCAAGATCAGTACAAATGAAAACATTAAAACAACTAAGAATCAGTAGATGCATGTCTATTAAAAATGATTTGACCGAGTTTTGATTTTATTTGCCTATCATTATTATTGTAGGTAACATACACATGCACTTTGATTATTAAGCCAGAGGTATATGTACAGTGTATCCCTAAACGAGTTCTGTGTACTCTTGCATAATTATAAACTACAAGATATTGTTATTATATGAGAAAGGGGAAAACCCCAAACATTGAACATTTCAAATATCAATACTAGGATATAGCGCCTGCTTTTTACAACCATTTTGAAGGACGCTTTTTGCAATTCACAACGCGCAAAGAACAAAATCACCTTTTTTTAAAAAGAAGAAAAATTGTATGAATGCCAGTGACACAACTATCCATCAGTGACCAAATGACAAAGATGTAAGCAATTATAGGGCATCGTACGACCTTCAACAATGAGCAAAACCTATACCGTATATAGTTGAACTAAGGTTTGTTTTCAACTATAAACAAGTTAGAAGCGTTTGTTTATGTTTAATTTTTTAAATCAGACTTTGTATACTTTGAATTTTAATGAAGGTGAATGCTCATCGTAAATTAGAACCATTATATAAATAGTTTTGCATGACATGCATACATCAAACTTATTTCGGTGCACAAGACATGAAGTTGTGTCAGATCATTGCCGAGGACAAGTAGTTATTAAACACACAGTTATTTTAAATGCATTTCGTTTTACCTATGAAGACCTGTTCTAGGAGACAAAATAAAAAATCTTTAGATGACCACGATCACATCAGTACTCGTTAGAACCATTGTCATCCCCGATCATTGTTTCAACAGACAAAGTCCGAGATTACTCTGATGTCCAACGGCTGTTTTGCCAGACAAGATATGGTGTTTTTGTCCCACGGCCCCAGCTTGTCTGGCAAAACAGCCTTTGAACATCAGAGTAATCTCAGACTACAACAGACATAAATAGAGCTATCTGTCTTGGATGAAATTAATATTAAATGCACCTGATTTTTAAAAAAATGACAGATTAACAGATTAATCCTATTTTGATGAAAACCCCATACCCCCTCGTTAGTTTATTGACATGCAATCAGAACTCTTTTGTATTGGCAAAATTTAAAAGTTCCAACGTTCGAGACCGAAGTGGTGGTATTGAGATTGGCATGCTAATAATAATTAGGGATGTATTATTGGTGAAATTACTTATTTTGAAATACATTGCAGGTTTCAGGGGCAAAAGGAAAATGTATTTTGCCAAGTCAGAATAATGCATGTGAATATGGTAAAAGGACTTAAGGTATTTTAAGGGAATGTTTCATTATACTGAGATCTACATGCATAGCAATATAACTATTTTACTCCGGATGTTGTTGAAATATTCACCTCGCTCATTATGTTGATCCTATTATGGATAAATAATTCCAACTAGATGTCAAGCAGCCAATAAACAATCATTACCATAAAACGAAAACAACTATATCAAAGATATTTAATATTGTTCAAGGGCATTTTTTGGAATATATACACATATTTTAATTGTATTCCACACAATATATTTGCCTAACTAACATAATTCCTCTTGCTTAACTTCATCCGCTATGCTTCCTTAATATATACACATGTATGAATTTAAATGAAAATTCACGCAGTCAAAGCTTATTTGACGAAAATAATCAAAATTATACTAAACCAAACTGAACCAGAAAGTTGGGTATGGTATAGACTGTACTACAGGCACAAATACATCAAATTATATGCATAAGAGCATGTTTCTCCTCCTTTTTCTTTGAAGTAACTCAGTTTTAACATGAACATAAAATTCTAAATTGCACAATTTAAAAAAAAAAATTATACCGCTCGCTCCACTTGTAGAGTACCCGCCTCAACAAAACTCATTTTCAAGAAATATATACAATCAAAAAAATTTCGCTCTCTCGCCCCATATTTTTTTGAGCTTTTGTCCGAAGAACTAAAAATCAAATTGGTGTGGCCTAATTTATGTATTTTTTTAAACAGAATTATGAAAAACTCCATATTCAGTATATTAAAGTGGGATAAATCTATAAAAATGTAAATTCAAGTTGTCTATGGTGATTCGTATTGATATAAAACATACATGTACATGTATGGTAACAGACTGAATTTTGTTAACAAACAACGCATTTTTATAATATATAGACAGATGGAGATGATAATATAGAAAAAGAGAGATAGAAAGAAACTTAAATACTTTATGTACTAATCAATAACGTTATTATCGTTTTCCATATAATCCTTCTACATTGTATAAATAAGCTTAAAAGGAACAAACGTCACTTTGTGTACAACTTCTACACACTTTCTTATTTGAATGAAAACACAAAAAAAAACAATAAAGTAAAATAAATAGTTTACCTGTAAACCAAATATAATACAAAGATAGAAGGCAGGGGTATCCTCAATTCCGTATTCCAATTTTTTCTCATCATTATACGAATTTTCTGTGGTTGCAACTTCGGCTTCCGTTGCATCGTCTGCTTCAAACTCTCGCGGAGCAGAGCAACATACATTAACAAATCTATCTGAAGGTTTCAACTCCATATTTTCGTTATTTTGTAAATCAACAATCTAAAAATATCTCATGTTTACATGGTTATCCAGGTCAGAATAATAATCCTGAAGTAGTCGAGCAACATAATTATTTACCAACTGTTTGTATTAATAATCAACTATTCTTACATTGTATGTAGTGTAAAGTAACCGTGTCATCGTGGATAATAACTGTGCGCAATTTATTTGACATACTATAAGACAGTCTAGGAATCTCAGTGCATTCTGCGTTTAAAAGATGAAATATCAGTTAAACTTTTGATAAAAAAAAGTGCAGTATGTCTGCAATTCATGTTAATTTGGAGTTGTCGTTGTTAACATGGTTAAGAGTAGTATATTATATTATATTTACATGTATATTCTTATTTACCCTTTCAATTTAATTATTTTTCATTTGGAGTGCGTACTGATGCAATCTATTCCGAGGCAAATGTGGTAAGGATTTCTTCTTATCCAACATTATGTAAGCTCCCAAGCTCAATCTGTTGCAGCTAATGGGTTAGGAGTAAATATCTCATGGAAGCACAGACCCCGCCGAAATAGGAAACTCAAAAGTCACGAATTCCTTAAATTAAGGCAAATATTTGCTAAAAAATGTCTTCGCTAAAAACTCTACAAACATATGTACTTTGACCTATAATGGTTTACTTTTACAAATTGTGACTTGGATGGAGAGTTGTCTCATTGGCACTCATACCACATCTTCTTATATCTATCGATAAAAAGGTCACGAGACAGGTAAATATGTTGGCATAACTACTTCTTGGCAGAGACCATCTTTCTTCTCACCAAAACAGTTATACAACCTGTCATAATTCTTTGTTTTCAAAATAATATATTATCAACCCTCTAGACAGACTCTCATCGTGAGAGGAGTAAACTGAAAATTATGATGAAGGATCACTCAACGCTTCAAAAACTAAATTACATTAAGAGCAACCTCCTCCACCTAAAAAACCAAAATCTCTCTCTCTCTCTGCGTGTCCCAATTTTGGTTTTAGATACTGTAGATTTAACTAGAATATCTTTGAGGTTTGTGGGTCTGCGATTAACCATGACGGGAGGTGATGGAATAATCTCTGTTTAGGAAGGATTATTTTCAATAAGACGTCAGTGTTTGTGGACAATAGATGAAAGATTTGTCAGGTCAGGATGAAAGCTGACAACAAACGGAATTTTATTTTTGGGCTGTCTTTTCTTTGTATTCAAGTAGGTTTGTTCGGTCTTTTTCTTTTTCTTTACCGAAAGCTTCTGAAATGTTTTTGTTCTTATAACCTCTTGATTTAAGTTGCTGTCTGAGTTGTCACAAACAGTTGTTTAATTTTGATTCCGATGAGCAAATCCGCTTTAACCTGATAGCTTGGCTGTACGGAATGCTTCGGGAACAGTGTTTTGGATGTCAACTCTTCGGAGAGAGAAATTGGTGTTTGTCAGTTTTCTTTGTGTGAAGGTCGGTTGTCATGACTCCGTTTTCAAAAGTTATGGTGATGTCGAGAAACGCAATTATCTCATTTGAAACTTCAGATGTGAAATTTATAGATTGATGAAAGTTATTACAAAGATCTAAAAAATCTTATAGATGTTCTGCGGTTTCGTTCCATTTGATGTCGATGTCATCAATATAACGGAGACAAGACAAGGGTTTGTATGGCACACTCGAAAGGATGCGTTCTTCGAGATTCCCTATGACAATGTTGGCAGAAGAAGGTGCAATTTTGGTTCCCAAAATATATATGTATATATATATATATATATATGCATGGTTAGTATAGTGTTTCAAACAGTTGTGCTTGGAATATTTAACTTGGTTATCAGTTAAAAAATGTTGATACCTCGAAGAGCGAGGTAGCAGCACCAACTGTTCCGTTCAACCAGAGCACCAACCAGACAAAAATCTTTAAATAATTTAATAGGCTGTTTTTTATAACAAAAAAACTCATCATAGATGGGACTTAACTCTACTTAACTCAGACGTGGTGTCAATGATGATAATTGTTCCATTTTATAAACACATGTATATGTTCATTTTGTAATTGTTGTATTTGATAATAGTCCAATGTCTTTACTTTATTTCAATAAAAAATACTTACTTACTTACTTAGATGCCAGGATTTAAATTGTGTACGCTAGATGTGCGTTTCCTCTACGAAAGACTCATCAGTGACACTCGAATAAAAATAGATGTAAAGGCCAAAATGGAGGTAAATATATATAGTCATTTTTTTTTCTCTCTCAATCTATTCAGTAAACTACTAGTAACAATCATTTACGATCTTTACTACATTTAAACGACCGTTAACATTTTACCCCTCGGTGGCGTTGTCGACATTTACTGTAAGTGTAGATAGTTATTGAAAAGGTCATGTAAGACTAAGCCTGAGGCAAGTATTGGGAGTTATCAGTCCTAATCAAGTTACCTGCTCAGCTCTTGTAAAATCTCATATCACAGCTTTACGGATTCAGATGCGTTTGACCTGACCACCAAAGTTTTGGTTAATTTCGATGACCTTAACACCAGCCTAGAAGTCGTCACTTTTGTGTTGACATGAAATTATCATTGATATGTTCTTTTTCTATAAACTTACAGTTTATAAAATATTCGAAACACGTTTTTCTACCCCCAGACATAGATTGCCGTAAAGTTAAATTAGTCGGTATATGGCACAACTTTTCGGAACTTTCGGTTTTTAACGCTAACAACTTCGTATTTGGTTTGGCCTTCTAACTGTTTTGACTCCAGCGCTACTGACGTTTCGCACGTCTGATGTACCAAGATACAAATACTAAGTCGAAGCCACTTAAAATCACTTGCAATTAATCCAGGATGTGTTCATTAATATATGTTTTGTTAAAATCAAAGTACTATGACATGTATTTTGGTGGGCATTTTCGTAAATGGTGGGCAACCAATAATTTTGACACAGAGAATCATTTCGTATAATAGCAAATGATACTTTTTTCATATAAATCCTAGCAAGAAATATGATTCTCAGAATTTATCATTAAAAAAAAAAAAGTTTTAAACACAATTGAGGAAACAATTCTAAATGCTTATCATGCCTATATATATTATTTATCAATTTTTTATGACATCCTACAACAAGAAGCAGATTCCAAAAAATTGTGATTTTTTAACAAAAAGTAAGTTTTTACGGTAGGAAAATTGACAATCCTAGTGAATTAAGAGTAGTGTCGAGCGCACCTGCCGAATGCGGGATTCGAACTCACAACCTCAGTATTGACAGACTAGTGATACATTTGTTCGACTACTTAGACAACTCTGCCACCGAGGCCCCTCCTATTATAAGATGACATTTCTCAACAATTTTGATTTTTAAACAAAAACCAAGTTTTTTTCAAAACTAATGAGCCTTATTTCACCAAAATATGGTATGCACATCTACACACTGTGCACAACAACTGTGCAAAATTTCATTGGCCTCCTGCCTAGTATTTTTTTGGATTTATTTGCGTTCACAAAAGACATTTCTCAAAATTTGTGATTTAAAAAATATCAAAAACGAAGTTTCCCAAAATTTATGAGCCGAATTTCACCAAATTAAAGTATAAACATCTACATATTATACAACTGTGCAATATCTCATTGGCCTCCTACCCATACTTATGTTTTGCGTTTACAAAAATTGTTGACGGACGGACTGACAGATGGATGGACATACAATCATACCACATCTCCTTATTTTTAATACAAGACTGACAAAGTGAAAACTATTGGACTCCCGTATCCTTGATGCTGGGCCCTAACTATTCGAAGCACTTAGGTTTTTTCCTAGCTTCGTATCTTTGATCAGTTTATATATTTCTTGATAATTTGATTTGGACGACATATTAATCGACTCAATGAAATTTGATTGAAACTTATCGAATCCTTCGGTTAGCTTGTAAAACAAGGAAAACTATCGTTTTACTACTACAAATTTTGTTATATTATATATCAAAAAGTAAAAGAGAAAAAGACAGAATCAACCGTCTTATAAATCTACCAGTAACTGTTACAAATACAGAAGCAAAAATTGTACTCATTAGTTCATATAAAGTAATTCTTTTTTTACTAAATTGCAGTTTTATCAAGTTGTTTGGACGCTGTTTAAATCACACTACAGTAGTTTGCGACCTTCGAACATTGGTTCGCTGGGTGATGGGATTTGTCTCCGATGTCCCTTGAACTGGGATAATGTCATGATAAACTGGATCCTGCATCGATGGATTAGGACTTTCAAAAGGCTTCTTTTCGTCTGTTCTACTATTATTTCTCCGAAAGTCTTCGCATCCGATGGACGAGTACTGTCGACCAATTGTACGGTCTTGAGGAAATTCGTACTCGTTTTCATTACCCACATGGCTTATACCTTTTCCAACTGTATGGCCTGGACAAATGTATACATCTTTCCTTCAAATACATATTAGGCAAATAAGGGAAATCAAATTTAGAAAAAAGAAATCAATTTTATACACGAAATACATTAGCGTCTTTAAGGTATAAAACTATCAGAATTATTCTTTTAAATCACTTCACTAACAGAATTAATTCTAACAAATTTATGCTATCCCACAAACAGAACAAAGAGTTCGCTATCTGGGTTACGCATAATTTATTGTAAAGATAATTGAACTATCTTAAATAAGAGTTGCATTCCGTTTACCAGAATTAAACTATTCATACTTAAAAATAGAATTCAGTGACCTCTACACATGTAATATCAATAATACAGAAATATTAGTGTGGTATATTAGATATATTTTTTTCATAAAATTAGTAAGGCAGGGTTTCGAAGATAATATTTCCAAGTCAAAATTTATGCGATATGTACGTGTATTCTATACTCTCGTACATTTTGTCACTGAAATATAAGTTGCTACATTTAGCGTGGTCTGGTCGCATGCAAATTTTAAAAAGATCCGCCAAACCATACATTTAGTACATGTTGCCATAACAGTCTTGTCGAGAAACCTCTATCACAGATACTTTTGGGAAATCTATTCTTTTATAGTTACAAAAAAATTATATATAAAGATACCAATGAGTTATACGTTTTACAAATTCTAATCTATACATAAAACAATAGTTTAACTTAAAAATACCTTCGTATGATGTGAATGAGCAGCGTCATTATTTTTACAGAAATAACTAAAGTTGTCACTGCAGTTACTAACACACCTGAAGGGTATATAAGTGTCGCATGTTACATGTATCACAATAATTCACAACAGCAGTTTTAACCGATCACGGCGTTTTGCATTTGTTCCAAATTGTATATTCATTTGCGACAACGAAAAAAAAACCATTTCATTTGCATCAATTTATTATAGTAAATACAAGTCATGAGAAGATAGGTTGTTACGCATAGAATTTCTTAATATGATAACTAAAAATACCCTTCCCTGCTCACCAGGGGGTAAACCGAATTTTCGAGCATGGTAAAAATTTTAAGTTTAGTTAATAAGTTTGTAAAATAAATACATTTTAAGTAGCACTTTGTATACTAATTGAGAATACGCTTTGAAACTATTCAAATTTACATATTTAAAAGACCGTCCTGACGAAGTATTCGTATGCTATATTTCTAATATACTGCGCCCGTTTTTTCTTTTCCTGTTTCTTCCCGGTAATTATCTAAAATGGATCTGATCTTACATGAAATCAAAATGTCCCTAACGATTATTTTTTTTGAGCAAATGAAACTTTTTTTGTTGTCATACATGTACGCCCAGCCAAATCAATTTAGATAGAACACCCTCAATATTAAACTAAAATGATAATAAGTAAGCTGTCGAATTGAAAGGCTGACATATACAGTTCAATAAAAGAACAAAAGTTTAATGCTTAATTTATTTTTACCATGTTCCTACTACGCTTTCATAGTGCAATACAACTGATAATTGGATTTTTCAATAGTTAAGTTATTTTAGACGCAAACTGACAAATGAACATAAATGAAAACAGTACCTACCTATAACTAAAGCCGAAATAACCTCGGGACTTTCAACACCCATATTAATACGGATTGTATACCGCTGTCAGTCTAGCTGTAAAACGTCTAGTAGGAAATAAAGCAATAAATTAAAAAAAAGTAACGTTTAGTTACAAGCTTAATCTGATGCAATTGTTTTCTCCAAAAACAAAATTTTATGTGAAAACACATCAGTATTTAGCGAAAAAAAACTTTTAAAAGCGCACCTTAGATATATGGCATGTTGACAAAGTCCTTTTAAATAGATACACAATAGAGCGAGGACTCTAACAGTCTTACAACGAATTATCTATGATTTAGGCGTTACAGTTGAAAACAAAAGGCGGAAGATAACAAAGGGATGTCAACATTCACAAGTCGAAGAGGGAAGATAACAAAGGGATGTCGACATTCACAAGTCGAAGAGGAAAGAAAACAAAGGGATGTCGACATTTACAAGTCGAAGAGGAAAGAAAACAAAGGGATGTCAACATTCACAAGTCGATGAGGGAAGATAACAAAGGGATGTCGACATTCACAAGTCGATGAGGGAAGATAACAAAGGGATGTCGACATTCACAAGTCGAAGGGGGAAGATAACACAGGGATGTCGACATTCACAAGTCGATGAGTGAAGATAACAAAGGGATGTCGACATTCACAAGTCGAAGAGGGAAGATAACAAAGGGATGTCGACATTCACAAGTCGAAGAGGAAAGAAAACAAAGGGATGTCGACATTTACAAGTCGAAGAGGAAAGATAACAAAGGGATGTCAACATTCACAAGTCGATGAGGGAAGATAACAAAGGGATGTCGACATTCACAAGTCGAAGAGGGAAGATAACAAAGGGATGTCAACATTCACAAGTCGAAGAGAAACTGACAACACCATGGAAAAAGGCGAAAAAAGACTAAAAGACAAACAACTGTGATATGAATACTTTTTACAAAGATATAGAATTTTGCTCTTGATTATAAAAATGTAATATGTAGCAATTTGAGCTCTCATTTTCCTACAGCTGTCGAACATTTCCCCAAATCGATTTCAAGCTGTTCATTTTTAATACAAATGTCTTTGTGAGGTCTAGCGTGTTTTTTTGTCTATGGAGTTGTTATATTTTTGTTGCGGTTTTTTTTATTTTTATTGTCTGGTTGTTTGCTTTTCAGGTTCAGGTTGTGGTTTTATTTTTTTTTCATTTTTCAAAGGTTTTTTTTAAACTTTTCATATACACATAAACCTATGATACTTGACTTGTATCATTACTCTGTCAGAGGTGGTTAACATTTTTTTTCATTTTCTAAGTCCTATACGATATTCTATTTAAGCTACAGTATAACAGTGTTTACTATTTTGAAAAAAGAAAAATCAAAGTACTGAAGTACTGAACATCGGATGACCGCAAGTTCTTGTGGATGGTCACAAGCACTTGTCTCAGAAAAAAGAATCAAATCTCTATACCTGAAAGTGAGGTTAATGTACAGAGATATATTTTTTTCTGAGACAAGTTCGTGCGTGGATGATGAATAAATGACAGGAAATTCAACCTCACCGTAATAACTATTATATTGTAGTGATACAAATCAGTATACTTTGGTTTGTTGTTATATATTATATTAATATTTGTATATAACAGTTACATGTATATATAATTTTCATCCATTTGTATATCATTCTATTCTACTATTCTAATAATAGTGCAGTGCAAGTGCATGCTGGACACTCTTCTGTAATAATTCGATTTTTCTAATAGATTGGATTTGAGTAGGCATTCATATTTTCCCGCAAAACGTTCTTGAGATATTCTTCCGCATGCGTTGACACAATTTTTCTGTACGTGTGCATAGATAATGTCCGCGTATTTATACGGTCGGTTACTAATCAAAAACGAAAGTCAAATCTCTGTGGCAACAATACATCGGAATGCCCTCACGGTCATCGCGATGTAAAAATGGATTTATTTTTTTAGAATAGAACCTTTTCGTCAATGATTTTAGGTACAATACGTGACAGGGGCAGTAACTTTAATGTTTTCTGAATCAATTTTACGCAAAGTGTGTTGTAATTAAATTACCTAAGACAAAAGGATTGGACTCTTATATATGTATGTGTATGTATCTTGGGTATACTCTCCCATGAAGAGTGTGTTCTGAAAACGTTAACGTTTTTTTTCTATGTTGTTTTGCTATAATTATCAACATGTTATCAAATTAACATTGCTTAAAGATGACAAAATTAATACCAATTTTGATAAAATTTGAATATTTATTTCAAAAAATGAATAAAGGCTAAAAAAACCCACTTAAACCCGTAAAATCTATCAAAAAAAAAATCTGTTAAGTTTCCTAATGCATTTTACAAAACTGTTTCAGACATAATGTGTGTTGTAATCATGATTTGTCAAACGTTTAAGTGGATATGATATCAAAATGACAGGGTTAATAATGGAGAGCTTACGTCGTACCATATTACAATGTGAATGTACAAGATTTCCTTAAAGTGTCTCCTATAAGCTGTCGAAATTGAAAGATTTTTTGTTAGTATTCTAGTCGATAAAAAAATTACCTGATTTTTAACATAAGCTCATCCACGTGACAAATGAGGAAATATGAAATTATAACGGAAATGGTACGTGACATTGCTTTAGGAATAGCCTTTCGAATAAAATCATTTTAAAAGTGGCAATATTAGTTTTGAATCCTCTTAGTTTTATTCATCGAGTGTGCATGTATATATATATATATATATATGTGTGCAAATAAGTTTATTGTTGTGACAAATTCAAAACCTAAATCCTCAAATGGCACAAATCAAGCAAACGAAAGTACGACAATAAAGTGCGCCATCAATTACAAATGTTTCTTTAACTCAATGTTTAGCAGCAAATAATCATTTACATTTTAAACGAACTTTTCATTCAACATAGTTTCACTATACGGGTGACGTAAATTTTAAAACGATTTCCTACGTATTTTTTCACTCCTCTTAATCCTCAATTTTTTATGATTTTCAAATAAGTTTGAATATTGAACCGACTGCTCACAGCTAGTTGGATATATGATATCGAACCGGCGGCTAACTGCACATATATTAGTTATGTAGAAACTAGATATTTCTATACACATTGACACCAATATGCCGGATTTAGAAATCAAGCTAGTGAGTGCTTTCAGTTACTGACGTCATTTGTGTTGGTTTGTTCAACGTTCACTTCTAAGGCTGAACATCTGTGGTCATTTAGACGTTAAAAAATAATACATATCGTATTGGTAGCTAGAATTTCGAAAAAAAAGTGGCTGCTATCATTATTGGTATTTAAAACGAAAAAATCCTTTGAGAATCACTACAAGCCGTGAAATTGTCGAATTCCGCTCTTAAATTACATTTAACTTAGATTTTGAGATTTTTGGAACATTCGAGTCTGTTATAGTTTTTGGGTTTTTAGAGATATCATCAAAATTGGCTGCTGGAAAAAAGTGGCTGCTATCTTGATTGGCTGCTAAAAGTGGCTGCCAGCTTGAGTCTAGTATTCGAGTCTTCTCGTTTTGCTACATCGTACCGTGTAAAAGAGAGATTCCGAGACATCTTTTTAAACTCTGTAGATAATCGTCTTGCAAGACTTTTTCTTTCTTTCCTTTCTTTTTTAATACGTTGTTCCTGTGCTACAATATCAGCGGAATAACGTTCAATTTCAGATACTTCAACTATTTCAAAATCCTTTTCTTCTGGAACATGTTTCGCTTTCCTATGAGAAGAAATTTTAAATCATCTAATACAAGTTACGGAAACTTTATCTTAAAATTTAATTGATATAAAGTATAATACATAATTTTAATTATAAATGTCCAAATGTTTTATATCTATTATGACTTTTGGTACATGTATAAAAAAAACCAGTTACGAACTCTTATATCATCTTCAATAAAGGATAACGATTTCTTTTTATGTTGGGTTCGGTAAGAGTAAGTTAATTTGCCATTATATTTGTTTTACTCTTTTTATTATTGGCTCCAGTCATAAATATGTATCTTCAATCTTCTTGCATAGCGATTGTAGATCTGTAGACACTGGCGCTCTAATTCTATTTGCCATTTGCTGATAGTAATCTCGTTGGCAATTATACCACCTCCGATTTTTTTAATTAGAAAATAACAGTAATTCTTTTACTTTGTAAAATTAAAATTTTTGATTTAACCTTCACCTGGACAGTTCAAACTTTGAGACAGCCAAAGGAATTTAATGAATTGGGAGCTTTGAAGTCAAAGAGATTTTTTATTGTTTTGTACATAAATCAGGTTGTTAGTCTTCTCTGATTTAATTGTTTTACATTTGGCATGTCAATGCCTTTTATAGCTTGCTATGCATAATGGGTTTTGCACATATTTGAAGGCCGTGCCGTGACCGGTTGTTGCTAATTTTTACGTCAGTTGGTCTCTGGTGGTCATTTTTTGCAATCAAACCACATTTATTTTTTTATAAAAATATTATATAATGTACAATTAAACCTTTTACGACGAAAATAAGAAGATATGAAATGGTTTTTAATGAGAGGATTATACACACAAAGGATAACAGAACAAGGATGTAAACATATACAGCAAAAATAGTCAACGGAAATACAAATGGATTGTGATAAATATAAGAGGCTTTATAGTATGAATTGATCAATAATTATTTCCGCTTTGTAGATATTGTTGAATTATTTGCGTATTTTAGAGTTATATTTTCCTTGAAAAACTCAGTCAAAGTTTTATAATTACACCCATTTTCTCAGTCTGTTGACATTGCTTTCTTATTGGGTACTTGTTTTCATACAGCCGTTCCTTGTAGTTGTGAAGGCACAAATTTGGTAAATCATTTTCTATTATCTGTGTAGTTCTATATTTAAACTTGTTTTCTCTTTGTGAAAAGTAACCACAGTTCTTCCATATGAATAACAATACGATTTTGATTTTCGGCTTTTCTTTTCCAATTTTTAAATCAAATAAAAATTGTATCTTGTGATCATGCTGTGTGGTTCTTATATGTACAAAAGTGGTGCACCATTTATTCAAATAAAAGTTGTCCCCTTCCTGAGCTTCTTACCCTTCCGGATCACTTAAGATCACTCCCGGATTTTGGTGGGGTTGGTGATGCTCAATCTTTAGTTTTCTATACTGTTGTTTGTCTTTTGGTCTTTTCCTTTCTTGCCATGGCGTTGTCAGTTTATTTTCGAATTATGAGTTTGAATGTCCCTTTGGTATCTTTCGCCTCTCTTTTTTCAAACAAATACAATGACGATACGATGGCCCATCCATAGACAAAGTTTACTGCCGCAATAAAACACGTACCTGATTTTCTGAAGGACACAGAATGAGACGACGAATATGATAAGAACTGTACCGACAAATCCGAGAATAGTAAACATTAGCCAGTCTGCAAATATAATCACACTGTACTATTATTCTATCGTTATGTGTTCATATTACAGTGTTATAACATTGTTTAAGTATGACATACTAATTTCTGACAATTTTTATGAGTAGTAAGAGTATTGCAATATGGACATGTAGAGTGAGATAATGTCACTCGGAATACACCGCGTAAATGGACATTCATTAAGTAAACTATATTACTTTCCACTTATTTTTCGGTGGGGTTTTACATATTAGGTTCCCATGATACCTGCTATACTATCGCATGCTATGTTGTGTCATACTTATTTTCGTCACATTTCAGTTTGCTAGGTTTATGTATAGATAGGAATCATTTAGTTTGTAAAGTAAGGTATGCAATAATGTTTAAATACTTTGATATTCGCCTTTATTATTTGGGGCATTACCTTTGTAAAGATATGTGGCATGAAATAAATTATCGTTTTCATATATAAAGTACAATATATTGTTAATTGTCTTTTGACGGTAAGCAACGATTTTACATGCATTTGTCGCGTTAGAAATGTAACATACTGTATGCGTTTAGTCTGTACTAATTATACCCCCAACTTATGCTTTATTGCAATCCCTTTGTCCATCGTATATCCCTCTGTTCGATCGTTCGTTTGTTCATCCAACAAATATTTTCGTCACATTTTACTCAGAAACTACAATGAACTTATCATAATGACTTTTTTCTTTCATCAGCAGCTTGTCAGAGATATGTTGTAACGGGTGAGCACTTTTCGGATCTGTCAGATACATCTGCCTGTATGCTGATATTTATTTTTGCAATATGCTCAATGATTGTCAATTCATTTCTACCAAAATTATAAGCTTGGTATCTTGATAGGTTTTTTTCTATATAGATATAGGAAGATGTGGTATGAGTGCCAATGAGACAACTCTCCATCCAAGTTACAATTTATAAAAGTAAACCATTATAGGTCAAGGTACGGCCTTCAACTCGGAGCATTGGCTCACACCGAACAGCAAGCTATAAAGGGCTCCAATAAATTACTAGTGTAAAACCATTAAAACGGAAAAACCAACGGTCTAATCTATATAAAAACGAGAAACGAGAAACACATATGAACTACATAAACAGACGACAACTACTGTAATCAGATTCCTGACTTAGGACAGGTGCAAATATTTGCAGCGGGATTAAACGTTTAAATGGTACCAAACCTTCTCCCTTTTCTGAAACAATAGTATAACATCACAACATAGAAAAACACACTATAAAATATCAATTGGAAGGCTTAACTCAATCAAAAAACGTAAATTAACACACAATGAACTACAAAATTTGACCTGTGACACAGTTAGTAAATAATTACATGGGATAAATAATTAAAGTCAAAAGTAAATAAACAGGTTTAAACAAAGTTAAAGTATGATATCACTGTGAAATGTCAAACATTTTTTAGAAAATCATCACTTTTGAAGAAACCTGCGTCATATTACACACAGGTAAATGAAAATAATTTTGTTGTTAAGTATACTTCTTCTTCTGTATATATAAAAATCTTCCGTTTAGGAATACCAAGAAATTTCTTTAATATCAATAAAACTAATCTAACACTTGGTACATATGGGGTGAATATCAACAATAAAACTATACAATTAGTGCTAGATAAAACTTCCTGTACGGGTCCAAGAACAGCATCTAAGAAAAAATGAAATAATTTTGATGTTCATAGTACGAAGAAGTGAAAATTTGTAGTAATACCAAATAATCAAAGCTGGTATATAGACAAGATCCATGTTAACATTAAATAACAAAAAAGCATTACAAATAGTATCAACAGGTCAAATTAAAAAGAAAGTACGATTTGAGAGTACTCACAGTTACTGACAGCTAGTTAAAAGCCAAAACAATTAATAATAAAAAATCTTGCATCAGAGACTAAAATCAACTAAAATACATCCCAGGGATTTAGTATTTTAACGTCATGAACAGTCAAAGAAGACATGACTTGTGCAATGCCAAAAATAAATGTATCGACAGGTAGTAGGATAGTTAGGAGTGACTTCTTTATAGATAAAAATGAACGTATGTGTGTCTCTATACATCCCGTTTGAAAAGAAAATACAAATTTAGTTATGTTATGATTTGCTAATGACAAAATCGATATTAGTGCCAATGTAAACTATATTCAGAGATCTAATTACAACATTGGTACGATAACCCTTACTAATAAGTTTGTTAAAAGGTTCGATGAGGTTACACGGATCACATAATGATTTCCGCGCTTTAAGTACAATATTACCATAAAATTTAGGATGTGAAATACCATTTTTTATAAGTTTTCTACAGGTACAGCCAAATTTACTAATCAAATCTTTGTATCTATGAAAGAATTTAGTAAAAGTTTTAAGTAATTTGTGGTAACGAAATCCCTGACTATAACTACTAAAACAAAATAATTTCATACTTGGTCAGCAGCGAAACAGTGATGAGTTGTGACGTGTATTTTGGATCTGTAAGACAACTTCCCTGTTTTCTGTCATTATGAATAACGATTTTGGGTATGCTTAGCACGACAACTTATGCATTCTTGTTTAACCAATGTATTCTCTCGATTTGTTTTCCTTGGAATTTGTTTTTCTTTTTTGTCATGTTTTTTTCTTTCTTATGCTCAATTTTTTCTATCTTTTCTTTCTTAAATTTAAGTAATAAAACTACCTAAAGAAGCGATCTTCATTTGCAGAGGAACTGTTGTATGTAAATACGATGTAGTAGATGATTCTAAAGTACTTCCATCGTCTTTTGTAGTTGTTAATTGGTTGGAAAATGTTGCTGATTTGTCTCCCGTAGCTGTTACTTGTTTGCTAGTCGACAATATGGTTGGTATTACAGATGTTATTGCGTGTTTTTGTATAGTTGTGACTGATTTTGTTGTTTTCTCAGTTTCAGTAAATTTGGTAATTCCTTGGGTTCTTTGAGATGTCGTTGCCAGATATTCCGACGTCGCACCTGTCGTTTCGGCAATGGTTATGTCAATTGTTGACTGTGTTGTCTGCTCCTGAACAGATGTGACTTGGTACTGTGTTTTATTGTTACAAACATTGGTAGTACTTTCAGTCGGCACTAGAACAGAAATAACGGTATGGTAATGCAGATACATTCGTAGTTTCATCTTTGGTAAATGATTATCTTTTAATGAAATTTAAAGTTGGAACCCAATATTTTTTTGGAAGTTAAGCTAAACGTTTGCTCGCTCGACGTCATTTGGTGCAAGATTTTACAAAAACATTTCAATTTTTTTTAATATTTTCTTTAGAAACTATCGGGCATGACTGACTTTAAATAGTACTGACAGCTCTTCTAATATTATTTGAAAATTATATTTTGATTATAGAATAGAGATAATCTTAAAATATCTCATCGCAACAAATCATGCATTTTTTAGAAAAGGACTAAAATTGAAGCAATGAAGGACTGCACATTGAAAAAATTATATGTAACATACTTTTACGTATCTGTATTTTTTTCACCAAACACCTATCAATATTAGTGGTAAATGCAAGCTTATACCACTTTCTTCAATTAGTTAAAGGGATTATTATAGAAAACAAGTGTAATTCCTAAATTTGTAATGATAATCATTGTTGAAGCGTAATATACAATAGTTGTGAAAACGTTTATATATCTTTATTTCAGATAAACCCCAGGGCATGCCTGATACGATAGCCCTTTGAGAATCAAACATAATAGGCATGCCTTATATATATATACATGTTTTGATATAGATCATTGGAAGCTGAACGGTTACCTATAATTGCTTACATCTATCTCATTTGGTCTCTGGTGGAAAGATGTCTCATTGGCAATCATATCACATCTCCTTATTTTTGTACAATGTACTCGTGATTAATTTTCTTTAAAAAAACCCTCATCACTTTCCTTCGATGACAAAAATTATCTATTATATAAGAAGGTTACTTCGCTTAACATAATGTTATTCAGCACCCGAACGTTTCATCGCACGAGGTTATGAGTTTTTGCCACCTACATGTATACTCCCAAACCTATTCATTTTTCTACGTTTGTAGATTAATAAACATGAAATTGTTATCCAAAAAATATAAGATAATAAATATTTGTTGTAGTCATTCATAAAAGATAAAGAAGTCGTTCGCTGATAATATGCAAGTCTTATTTCTACGTTGTCAGAATATTGAATTGATAAGTTAACCTTGCAACTATTGTTTTAGGAATAAATCTTTGCAATGTAGGCTTTTGCAAATATGAAAATGATTAGAGTTTTGCTTGTAAAAAAGAATTATATCAAAACACAATGCAAGACAAGCTTAATTATTTTAAACGTATACTTTTAACATGGTCATGTAATAAAGCATATTGGTTCTCATACCTTTGCATATAAAGGACAAACTGCTGTCACAGTCATCTGGTTGAAGAGTGTAATATATGGAACTACTATAATGTAAAGATTGACAATTTCCCCCAGACATCGAGTTCACTGTAAAATGTACATATAAGTATTAGCCTATGATGCAATTATGATACAAAAGATATGGCTGTCCTAAATGAACAACATATGAACATTAACCTTAAATGTCGCCCTGAGCTAATTCATCAACATTGGTTTCTTTTTCTGTAATTCTGTGAGTGTACCATATTACTTTGTTTGTTTAGTCTTTAAACTATGAATAGACCAACTTAATAGCATCGTTGACACTTACTACATCACATTATTTAATCCATCGTTTTTTTGTTTTTTTTTATTTCTACAAAAGTTATACATCTCTTCTACAGATTATAGAGCGGCTATCAAAATGTGTATAATTGTAAATTTTATGTATTAGCTATTGAAGAAAGGATGTGGCACAGATATTCAATTCCCCTGTTTCCATTCTCTATTCTATAAACGGTCAACCAATTCATGATGGAGTCCGTAAAACTTTCGAATAAGTTCCTCGAAAGCAGCAACTTAATTATCAAGGAAATGGTTGTAGATTACGCAAGCTCTCGAATATCGTATACACTGGGATATATATTCTCCATATCGTCGCTGGGCTTCCAAAATGTCGTATATGACTTTTTTGGCTAAACTACTTTTTGACACAAATCGTCTTGGCGGAAGGAAATCTTTGATATTCCAAAATAGCATACAGTTAGACCAATCAAAACATTTGAAATAAGACATGACTTGTGACAAAATTGCCAACCTCAATTGTTTGTAAAGTTGCTTCCAAAATGTTGTATGTAAACTTGAAAATTGTTGTATAATGGCTTTGGGAATCAATTACATGTACATTTATTTATTTTCTGGGAAAATAAGTTTAGTTTTTGTGTAATCCAGAAATGTCAAAGTTTTTATTTCACTGCCATTTACAAAAATGTTCCAAGTTCACATACTACATTTTGGAAGCATGCATTTCAACCAAATTTTCAAAGCCTGTTTGTGAGATACTTTTGTGTTGACAAATTAGTTATTTACTACATCTTGGAAGCCCAGCTACAAAGAATTAAAAAGTTTATAATTTGAAAGGTGAAACTATCTCTTTTGTTGTAAAATTACTTAGAATTATTTTGTAAGAGGACTTCATCTATATATAGCGGAACTCGAAGTTAAAGGATAATGTTAGCTTGTTTTTGTTCTCTATGAGAAGCTCATACAAAAAGTCAGTGTCGTAATATTGAATATAAGAACAAGTCGCAAGATCACATTTGCTTCCCATAGGAATGCCGATAGTTGGTTTAGATACACGTCTTCAAAACATAATAAATATATTTAGACGTACATAATAAATTAAACTTTTATGTGACGGCATAGGTACACCATCTACTTGCCACTATACATAATGTACGGTGTTACTACCCTAGATAAAGCCTACGAGAAAAGTCATTACTTGACTAACGAAAGCTATATTTTATATACCCTACTAGTTGGTCGAGTGATCTATGGCGCGCACTGTACACAGTGCAGGCGGTGTTGCCACGATATTACAGAAGCAGGGGTTCGAATCCCGCTGAGGAAAGAATAAAAATGTCCATTAGGAGCAGATATAACATTGTTGGGATTAATTTGAGACGAAGTATATAGATATACTGCCTATAAAAAAACTTTGTGATTTTATATTCAACGAACATAAAATCAGCGTTTTTTTACAATGCTTGATTTATTCTTTCCCTAAGATATTCGTTTAAACTTTGACATTCATTTTATCATACAAAATGTAACTGTTTATTTTTTCGTTTCAATCTGTCCGTAAGTAAAGAATCAGAAATACTAGTGTTAAGGAGAGAGTGTCAAATGTTTCTATATTATTGCATGAAAAAAGAGACTTAGAGTGTATGTTCTCGATCAGATCTATGGAATAAAAGAACCCATATATTAAAAGGCAGGTTCTTTGTTATGTACTGGGAAATTTTGATACGATGGTTAGCTTATCCAGTATATATGATTCAACAAGGGACTGCAGTTTACATCGGACAATTAACATTTTGTTCCTAACGACCTTCATTTGCTTAAAGCCAAGTCAATTCTGGTGGATAGTTGTCTAACTGGAAATGATTCAACATCCCTTATGTTTTTTATACAATCTTACCTATAATTGGAAATGATTCAACATCCCTTGTGTTTTTTATACAATCTTACCTACTCTATATGTGTCCATACTTCGGAATCCTCCGCATGTTTCTGCGTTATTTCCCGGACATACTTTGGAACATTCAATGTTGGAATTAAAAGTTGTTGTGGATGAAAAACACTTACATGTCTTGCCCTAAAAAAATCAAAGTCTAATTTTAAATAATTTCTAAGTAGATAACTAAAATCATTATAACATAACGTCGGATATTGACGCTCACATGAAACAACATGTCAATCTATAAATAGAGAATATCATATGGCTTTTCAATATCACATGGTCATCCGTATCAACCCAAGACACCAATATAATCCCAAGAGCTCTGCTCGAGGAATTATATTGGTTGAGGGTTGATACGGTGTGTGATATTGAAAAAACCATGACATCATATACACTTAATTATATACCTCCAGAAGATTTTTTTTTCGTGACATGACGTAATACAGGTTAGGGGTTTAATAAAGCCTTTGCACTTCAATTGTACCTACTATGTGCAAAATAAAATATGTAAATATTATTATTTGTTCGTGATTTTTTTTCATTTTTTTTTTAAAGTTACATTGATAAGTAACCTGCAATAAACTGCTACACACTATAAAAAAAAATTAATCACTATCATAACAATTCACGATTGTCCCACATTTAAACTTCCCAATTGTCCCACAAACATATTCCCGATTGTCCCACAAAATTTCATTACTTTTTTACCTGTAATTTCATAAAGTGGGACAATCGGGAAGACACCCCGTGACTGATATCGATCACGTGACGTCATACAGATTAGGGTTGTGATATAGCATTTGCAACCGTGACTGATGTCGATATCATCACGGATGGCTGATACAGCACGATTGCCATTGATCGTATTACACATACAATTTATCTGTATCTACTACTAAGTATATAATAAATACATTAATAAAGCTATGATTTTTTCGTTGGCTTACTGAACTTAATGTCTTCGTTATCAAAAAGTGCAGTCATAAACATACATATAATTCCATGTATCACTGTTTAAAAAAAATTATACGAATATGGTCCTTGTTGAAGACCCTGTTGTTGTTTACATCGTTGGTCTGTAGTGATAGTTGTCTCCTTGACCATCATACCACATATCCTTATGTGTAAATGTCATAACAAATATCTAGATTACAAGGGGTAATCTAAACTCATTTGGTCTCTGGTCTCCTTATTTCTATATCGTAAGGCATTGGTGTAGCACTGGAAAATAAGTTGTAAGCAGGGGGTTTGGGGGCGGCAGCTGGACGATAATAGTAAAATTTTTATTGAAAAAAAAATGTTTTAAAATTTATTTGTAAGCACATGCTTACAATATGCTACACTGGTGCTACGCCACTGTAATAAAGTCTAAGACGAAAATCCAATGCCATCGGAAAATTGTAGTAAAATGTTTTTTAGATTCATTACACTAAATAATCAAGTATACCTGTACTCCGAATAAGGAATATACACGACAGAAATCGAGGCATTCAACCATCTGATTATTATATATCTTTGATTTGATGGACAATGCTAACTTGTCTTCTTTACAACCTATGAATGACAAAGTGAAAAACAAAGTATTACATAAACAAATTTGTAGTCGGCGAGCCGGGAGAGGCTTATAAGTGCAGATATTTCCATGAGCATCTTATTCATGCTTCTTACGGAAGTCTTCAGAAATTAAATGCTTCAAATTTGGACCAATATGTGCCTTGGGTAATGTTGGGTTGTCAATGCTTTGTGCGATGATACAAATATTAATTAACGCAAATCTTGCGTCGTTGTTAGACAAATGTAGAAATGGGAGATTGCATAATTGCATTTGATAATCCTTTTTTGTGATCTCTATTTAACATACCATAAAGTATTTTAATAGCGAATTCTTAAGGCACAGAAACACTATTTTGAATCAAAAAGACCCTGACTTTGATCAAATTTTAAAATTTCGACTGCTGTTGCCAGATAAACAGTTGTTAATATATTTTATTCACTCAAAACAATTTGACTTCTCGGTCACATTTAAAAATCTTTGGTATGTACATCCAATCTCAGATTGTAAAATTATATTCAGAGAAAACAGGAAAAGTACTTGTAATAGTAATTTTGTTCCCGACTGTTTTTGTCCGAAGTTAGGGCGAGATTTCCACGGAAATTTATCTTTATACACGATATATTGGTCTATGTTATTATTATGATACTACTTTTATTGAATTACTAGTAATACACATGCTGCAGGTAATTTTGTACCCGTAGGTATCATTAAACAACAGTCATCAGAGTTAACACACATGCTGCAGGTTATTTTGTACCCGTAGGTATCATTAAACAACCACCAGCAGAGTTGACACACATGCTGCAGATTATTTTTTACCCGTAGGTATCATTAAACAACAGTCAGCAGAGTTAACACAAATGTCGCAGGTTATTTCGTACCTGTAGGTATCATTAAACAACAGTCAGTATAGTTAACACACATGCCGCAGGTTATTTCGTACCTGTAGGTACCATTAAACAGCAGTCAGAAGAGACTACACACATGCTGCAGGTTATTTTGTACCTGTAGGTATCATTAAACAACAGTCAGTAGGGTTAACACACATGCCGCAGGTTATTTCGTACCTGTAGGTATCATTCAACAACAGTCAGTAGAGTTAACACACATGCTGCAGGTTATTTTGTACCTGTAGGTATCATTAAACAACAGTCATCAGAGTTAACACACATCATGCAGGTTATTTTGTACCCGTAGGTATCATTAAACAACCATCAGCAGAGTTAACACACATGCTGCAGGTTATTTTGTACCCGTAAGTATCATTAAACAACAGTCAGCAGAGTTAACACAAATACCGCAGTTTATTTCGTACCTGTATAGGTATCATTAATCAACAGTCAGTAGAGTAAACACACATGCTGCAGGTTATTTCGTACCTGTAGGTACCATTAATCAACAGTCAGTATGGTAAACACACATGCTGCAGGTTATTTTGTACCCGTAGGTATCATTAAACAACAGTCATCAGAGTTAACACACATGCTGCAGGTTATTTCGTACCTGTAGGTATCATTAAACAACAGTAGTAGAGTTAACACACATGCTGCAGGTTATTTTGTACCGTAGGTACCATTTAACAACAGTCAGCAGAGTTAACACACATGCCGCAGGTTATTTCGTACCTGTAGTTATCATTAAACAACAGTCAGTAGGGTTAACACACATGCCGCAGGTTATTTTGTACCTGTAGGTACCGTTTAACATCAGTCAGTATATCAACAATTTCATGATTGATAGATTATACATTTTGTAATATAAAAACCGTGATAAACACGTTTGGCATCTTATTTTCTTTTACCTTTATGTGTGTAAGTGTGTTTTTGGTCTATATAAATATAGTAAGAAGGGGATTGATTGCCAAATGAAGCAACTTTTCAACCTGTACCAAACAGCAATGATGTCACAGACAGGTCTTCAAAAATTACTAATACATATTGTAAGCTGTAAAAAGACACGGGATAGCATAATGAGAAAACTAACGGCCTGATTCAATCTAACAACATTAAATATATACATTGTTTAAGATAAAAGTTATAAAAATGTTGAAAACATTAACCATACCTAAATATTCTGGCCACGGGTTTCCTAGCCATATTCTGGTATTTTGTATACTACATGATGTTGTGAAGTCCAGGAATTCTGATCCATAAGGCAGTAAAGTACCGGTGAGAACGTTTGTACAATAATCAGAAGCGTCGTTCCAGTTTCTACTGTCAGGTATGAAGTATAGAGTCCCAGTACATACTGGTAAATTAAAATAGATTAGTTTTAGTATTTTTTTATGAATAGAGGCGGATTTTGAAAAAAAACTGTGCGCTAAACATTTTGATATATGTCCTGTTCATGTAAATATCGACCATGAATATCTCTCCTTAATTAGTATTATTATTAAAAAAGAAAAAAAAAGAATGATAATGAGAAGCTTCGACTTTCCGACCAGTAAATTTTCTATTTTTCAAAATACTTTATCATTTAGTCGAGTTACTTATTAAAATAATAATGCACATGTTCTATTATAATCAACTGAAACAAATTTCTTAATGTAAATTTTGTTAATTTGATAAAAAGTAATTTACAAATAGAGTTGACAGCAGTTTATTTAAAAAAACAAGTTTTACCAACTACGCGTTATAAATCAAGACTACGCTGCAATTATATATGTGTATAAGATATGTTCATTAATATATTCATGACTACAAATGCATTTCTTTTCATTTCCATCAGCCCGAGGCATGCAACTGTACACCAGGTTCTCTTCAATTTTTGTTTAAAATATGAATTTCTGGTTTTCTATGATAGTTTCCGTATTGAAGGTTACTACAGTATGTTCCCAAAAACTTCTCAATGCACGCGATCTGTCGCCATGTACAAGGAAAGATGTTTGATTCCTAAAAGGCTGTTAGAATAGATGGAACAGATTTCCAGAGAGTGTCGAAATGATGATTCTCTATAAAAATAAGAAGATGTGGCATAATTGCCAATGAGACTACTCTCCACCAGAGACCAAATGACATAGAAGTTAACAACTACAGGGAACCGTAATTCATTAATAAAATCGTGAAAAACTTTTTTTAAAAATACAGAAATACTCACCCGTAGTTAGAATTAAATCAAAAATTACAAATACATTTGTAAAACTATCCATAAGATTCATGTCATGTTGATATTTTGTTCATGACCATATATCTAACACGGATGCTGTGTAATATCGCGGATTACGATAATCATTGGATTAGCAAGACGGATCTCTGTACTGACCTTTACATGTAAACATCTTTCTTAAGTATTATGTAAACAAGTGGTTTTCGTTCATCGTTTTGTACATAAATCAGGCTGTTAGTTTTCTAGTTTGATTTTTTTTTTACATTTGTCATTTTGGGGCCTTTTATAGCTGATTATGCGGTATGGGTTTTTCTCATTGTTGAAGGCCGTACGGTGACCTATAGTTGTTACCTTCGATGTCATTTGGTCTCTGGTGGAGAGTTGTCTCAATGGCAATTAAACCACATCTTCTTTTTTTATATGACTAAATAACGTCACAGTCTTAAATAAATAGACAATATCTCTAATTTTTGGGGGAAACGTATTTGAAACAATAATACATGTAGCAATGCGTGAATGTTACGACATCTTTATGTACTTGGTATATTGATATTAATTAAATTGCGACTTTCCAATAATTCAGATTAAGTAAAAACAAACCAATCTGAAATGAACCGAACTTTATGCTAGTTGTCTCAAAATGTTCTGGATCTTTTTATCGCCATTAACACATTTTCAAAAGGACGATGGCATAATAATTTATGGAATCATTTTAAAGGTAATGTTGTTAAGGAAAAAGAAGAAGATTATACAAAGGGACAATTAAAATTATAAGTCGAAGAAACACAGACAATACCATGACAAAAAAAAACGACGAAGAGACAAGCAGCAGCATACAAAACACTTGACAGAAAAACTAAGGATTAAGCAACACGATTCTTAAGAGGAAAATCATAGGTTCTCCGGAAGAGTAAGCATATATTGTAGGTACCTACAATTCTAAAGGAACGTATTTGCTGATTTTTAAGGAAAACGCGTGGTTGATAATGCACAGGTTATTATCAAATTTGGAAATGTTTGACTCCTCTCACAGGCTTAAAAAACTTCTTTGCGTTTTTTTTGAAATTCACTTTCCATGCATTTTTAAATGACAAATTCTCCCAAAAGTAGAATATTGGGGAATGCAAAGTCGTATCAAATTTCGCATAGCCGTTGCGTAATTTGTCAAGTTAACCCTTCCAGATATCCCTTCGTATTCCATGTACTATAATTAATCATAATTAATTATTAACAAATTCCGGATGATTTTGGATACTGTTCTGATTAAACTTCCAAGCAAGTACCAATGCTCGTTAACTTGACAATCGGTTAAAGGCAGAACTTCGGGAAAGTCGGAGAGCCTATGATCTTGCTTCGACGATTATTCTAATGTTAATAATAGCGTTGTCACCCTTTGATAGGTGATTCCCGGTTTGACTAGCGTGACAATTCAAACATTCGAGGTTTCGATCGATTTGTAAATAAAAGTAGTGCTTCAACATCTGTTATATTTTCGTCATTAATAAATAGTTTGTGTTTTTATTTTGAATTTAATTTTGAATTTATTTTATTTTTTCATATTAATAATTAAGCTTTTTGGGAGAAGGAGCTATATTCTGTTAGCTTGCTATCTGATTGACGTTTGCCCGATATCTGCTTTTATCAAACAAGATTTAGTTAGCTTTCCTATAAGGAATATTTGAGTGAAAAGTAGACACGTGAAGTGTTTATACATCTTCCTATCTACTTCTGACCATGATCATTTGATATGTTTAATAAATATAACAATGAAGAGATTTAGTATGATCGTCAATGAGACAGCTATCCACCAAAATATCAAAGCTCAATGATTAGATCAACAACAGGTAACCGTACAACCTTCAACTATGAGAAAAACCAACACAGTATAGTAAGCTATAAAGTGTCCCGGACATAAAATGTGTAACAATACAACAGAGAAAACTGTGTGTCTTTAACACTTTCATGTGGTATTTACGTCAAACTAATACCACATTGTTGGCTGCTTTGTCGTCCGGTACGATCACAAACTGTGTTGCGAATACCTGAAGTTTGTTTCTAATTTCAGAAATATGCGTAAAAGTAAATTATATTCTGAAATGTTATATGCGATTGCCGAAGATCCCCATATTCATATTTTCATTTTAATAAGAATTAAGTAATTTTTACAATAGGATATAGAGCGTCTGTAATGACCTGACGAAAATGGATCTCGTTTCAGAATGTATATATTAAAACCTCTCGCGATTGGCCTTGAAAGATGTTGAGGTACCCTGTAAAAACATGGCCATAGGGATTATATCTACACTTCGATGTTTCTCAGTTTTATGTTGAAGGAATATCCTTTTCTATACTGACGTCTAATGTAACTGACGTATAATTAAGAAACAAACTTTTACTGGGGATTTTGTATGTATATTAATTAATGAGTGGTTGTGAGTTAAATGTATTAAAAAAGGGGAGGGTATATAATTTGAACTGTAGAGTAATTGAATACTAGTAGCTGAGAAATTGGTGAAACAGCGCAATACTGTCTAAATAACTGTAAAAGTCAAACTTGAAAAAATACTTTTTGTAGGGAAGCATGTTAACTGATACTGGTTATCCTATCATAAGTTTTCCTGTAATTCTAAGTTTAAGCGTTCTTGATGAATGTCATTCCATACATGAGTGTGTTGTACACATGAAAATCATTTCAAACATTTTTAAACACAAAACCATTGCAGCATAAACTTTTACATAGAATTAGCACTTTAATCCCAAAATTCATCAGAAATAATATAAAAACACATGGAAAGGAAACAATATATGATATATAAAATTATAATATAGATATAGCATTTGTTTAAAAAGAAAAACTAAAAAAAACTACAAATCAAAAGCACTTTTTGTATTCATATCTTCATCACTTTAAATGGAAAAGTAGACACAATGTGTCAATTGTACATCCAGTTCTTTTCAATATTTTTATTTATTAACTATTTAATACAAGTCATCATCTAAGGACCCGTGTCTTTTTTGGTTGTTTCGAAAAATCTTATTCTGCGATAAATCATTCGGAACGTGTTGATTGGTATTAATGGTCATGCTATTGGTACGGTTTGTATCTCCAGGTTTACGCAGTCCAACATAGGAACCATCTACGTTTCCGTTCTGAAACCTTCGAGCATGACGGAAATTATGATTTTCTTCAACGTTATTATTTGAATTTGATGGTTGATAAACTTCATCATAAGCTGGTTCAGGCACATGCGTATCAATGTTACTTGTCTTCCGGTTGTCCTTATTGTTCTTGTGCACAGCCGTATAGACAGGTTCCTTAGCAGGTTCCCTGTCAAGATCGACACCATCGCCTCCAAAAGCAACAATTGGTACAGGGTCACGAATTCCCAAGTCAACATTGTGATAACCCGGTTGTTCTCTGAAAGCGTTGATAAATTCATCATTGTTATCATGGTTTGTCATGTGAATATGGAGTCTATCTTCCTTTTGTCGTCTTTTCTTCCTTGAAAATACAACGAAATTGTATTTATATTACCATTAGTAAAAGTAAAGACTGTAATAACACATTTGATCAGCCTAAAAAATGAGTTTGTGTTTCATTTTTCATTCAAAAACAAGGAAATAACGACCATAAGTGTCATTTGTGTTTTGTTTGTTTGTGTGTGTGTGTCTAGATTGGTACATGTAGTTGTCTCATTAGCCTATTTCGAATCAAATGGGATTAAGGGTATACGCCAATGAGAAAACAACGACACAACAAAAACTAAACCAGAATAGCAAATAATACACTCTCCTACGAATAAGAATAGTTTTATTTGTCCGAAATCCGTGCATACATGTTTATGTAGCTCATTAACATTCAGTTGGATATCGTAATAAGTGAACAAGCCTTGAAGCTTTATCTTTTCAAAAGGCTGACATATTAATATACAGTGGAGATCACTTCTAACCTCTCACTAGAACTGTCAGAATAATCTGTCATAGAACTGTTCTAAATTGTCCTAGAACAATTCTACCTAGAACAGTTCTCTACCCTAGAACTGTTCTAAGTAGAACTGTCAGAATCAGTTCTAGGAAGAACTGTCAGGATCAGTTCTAGGATAGAACTGTCTAAAACTGTTCTAGGTAGAACTGTCCAAATCAGTTCTAGTCGTAGAACTGTCAGCAGAACTGACCAAATCAGTTCTAACCACAGAACTGTCAGCAGAACTGACTAAATCAGTTCTAACCGTAGAACTGTCAGGATTGTAGAACAGTTCTTAATGACGTCACTGCAGTTAGAGAAATGTTAAAACAGTGCTGTGATGAGAATTTTTTAATATATATTATATTCTTTTGACTTATTTATATTTAAGACAAAGAGTTCTTAAAACTGTTCTATGGATAGAACTGAATAAATCAATTCTAGCCATAGAACTGACCAAATCAGTTCTAATCGTAGAACTGTTCTAGTCGTAGATCTGTTCTAGCCGTAGAACTGTTCTAGTCGTAGAACTGACTAAAGATTTGGTCAGTTCTAGGTAGAACTGTCTAAAACTGTTCTAGGGTAGAACTGTCAGGATCAGTTCTAGGTAGAACTGTCTAAATCAGTTCTAGGTTAGAACTGTTCTAGCTTGAACTGTCTAAAAGGTGTCAGGATGACAGTTCTACATACTGTCCTAGAACAGTTCTCCTGACAGATTCTGACAGATTTGATGAGAGGTTAGAAGTGATCTCCACTGTATAAACATTGGTACTATTACCATGTGTTCACTGTTTTGATCGTAATTGTATGCATGCATTGTTTATATCATCTATAATTAATTAAGACTTCAAATACGCTTGAAACATTTCAAAATACTAACCTTAACTTAAAGAACACAATAGCTAGCACAACTACTATAGCCAGAAATATACATAGCATAATAGCTATGATAACACCTGAAAAAATATTTTACTCATGTTACATGTAGAAAAAAGCAATGTATCACATTAATTTTAAATCATTCTGTACATGCTCAACATTTTACAAAACATTTAGCAGAAGGTTAAGTTCAGTGAATGATTTTGTCGGCTTTCGCCAAGAAAACTTTCGGGCATAGATATATTATATGAAACCACTTGCATACAACTTATCGCTATTTGTCCGCCATTACTGAACATCACAAAGGTTCCCGGAAAAGTTTGACGTCACAAAAGAAAATGTCTGACGCCACAATGGAAAAGTGATTGTTGTTTGACGTGAATAGTTCAAGTGTCGCAGATTCTTGGATCAAGCGTGGCTGTTTCAAATAGCGATAAGGTCTATTGTAATCTAGTATTCGAAAAAATTCGTATCCTTAACATATCTGTCATTAAATGCATAATTTAAATAAAAAGGATTTCATATAAGAGTCGAATCAAATGAATACTTCTTCTTGGCGAAAACGACATTAATACTATTGTTATTAGTAATGTGTTCAATCGAGAAAAAAGTGTGCAAATTTCTTTTTTGTAAACATGCATTTGTTTGGCCAAAATGATACTTGCAGAGACAAAAATATGACTCAATTTTAACGACTATTTTTTATTATGTATATGCATCTTTAATGCTGCATGTGCAATACCGTGAAATCTAACTATTGGACATACCTAGACTGGGACCACTCTCAGCAACTAAACTTTTAGTTTCAATATCTGCTCCATTTGAGGAGGACTCTGGAATGTCCGTGGTTATGCTGGACCCGATACATTCTATACCAGATGTATCGCCAACTATAATAAATATCGTTTTGAACGATTACAAACTGGTAAGTTTACTTTAAATATTACAGTTGTTAGTAAAGATAGGCATGGATTTTTCAGGAATAAGTGCCACAAGACTACACTTTCTAGTCGATTGAAATGGCCAACCTCAGATTACATTCAAACGCAACTTACTATTTGCTTGTTGATATAGGAAAGGTGATACACGATAAGCAATCTACCTTCTACTTATTTCAAGAAAGCTATTTATTCATGCAGTAATAGTCGATGTTTTCAATACACGAGTTTAAATTGACATCAATTGATCATCATTTCAAATGGAATGTATTTATCATTATACAATGTAAAAATCATACAATTGATTTAATATTTCAAAAAACTGTTTAAAAATACAAATCGGTTGGTAGTTCAAGCCGGGATGATGTAAGGGACAAATAAAAAACGTCAAATTAACGATACTAAGTAGTTATTTTTTACAATATTGTTGTAAGACCTTGACAAATGAAGTTCCTCGGAATACTACAATCTCCATTAAGCATTTCATATTTGTCTGCACTAAAGACAACATACTGACATTCAAACTGTGGTAAAGTAGATACTGAAATAGAATAAAAATCATTATAGTACAATACACTGTACTGAACAGTTTAACATCTCCATATTGCGGTTAGAACCAACAAGTACGGTTCAAGAGAACATCATTTCTTTATATTAAATGGATAATACTTCCATTGGTTGATAAAGTTTAATTTTTTCATTTTTTGTTGACTTCCTCTTTTTGAATTTACATTGGATTTCGGTATTTTTGATATATCAATTTTTTTCAAGTCTTCAAAAGTTGAAACTAAGTCGTGTTGACAGATATTTTGGCACAGCAAATTGCCTTTATCAGTGTCATCCCTTTTTCAAAAGTGATAAACCAATGAGTTCTTTAGTATGTTAAAAGAGCTCACTGAAGTATATATAAATGTATATAAAGAAATCTATAAAAAGGACCAACCAGCAAATTTAAAAAGTGCCATATCGTCTAGAATAGGCGACACTGCGCAGATAAGTTAGATTTTTTAAAGTCTTAAGATTTGCGCAACGGTACTAATATAAGATAGTATAATATACGAAGATGATGTTATAGAATCGTGTTGACAAATATTTCGGCTGAACAAATAGCCTTCGCCAGTACATACAATATATATATCCGTTCATCCTATTTCGACTCTTCAAAATTCAAGAGTCTATCCAAAATTGAGGTAAATTATATGGCCTTCCAAATACTGTTTCGATTCCTAACATCACTGAAGAGACATTAATTGTCGAAATCCGGATATGGTGTACTAATTTTTGCACCTTTTGTTTGCGGTATACCATCTTTTCCGCAAGTTTATTGTTTTCTGTTTGGTATTAGATTAATAGTTAAGATCTATTTTGTTACATCTGGTGATCCATTTATTTGGCAATCGCCAATGGCAGTCAGCAGGGTTTAAGAACGTCCGTTGTTCGACCTGCTAGTCAAATGCGTTTTGTTAAAATATACTTTTTCACTTTTTTGGTCTTTTGGAAAATGTTGTTTGTGCTGTATTTAGACCCCTCTCCCAAGAAATTTGTTTTGCATGCACACGTATAAAAATTTTAGTTTTAATCGTGCAGTGCTAACTACAGCCGTTGAATAGTTATACATAGTTTTACCTTTCAGTCATGCATCAGATGGTAAATCGAAGATACCTTAACTGTTTTCTAACACACGAATCTGAATTCATGTGAAAACGGTTTTATGTAATCTCAAAATTCCTTTAAACCATCTCTACATCTTAAACAGTAGATACGCAATTAAAATCGCGAAAATCTACCTTTTTCAGATTTTGACCAAACGACATACATGAATACATGTAACTCTTTACGTATTAACACATTGTATTCATCGTCAATTTTAATACCTTGTCTGTACACAATCATATGATTGACGCCACATTTTTCCTTAGAATTTCCAGGACAATCTATAGCATCACAGTTGCCTGCAGGAGTGCCACCAACCAAATGATTATAGCAATAACACTTGTTTACCTAGGAAATAAAGAAGCAATGTTGATATTCAAGCAGGTCAATGTAAGTGCATGTCACCACCGGTAAAGTGTGGGTCATAGTCTTAACTTTGCTTTTTCTTAACACGTATGGTGCAGAGATAACGTGAAATTTTGTTCTCACTTTTCATCCAAGCATTGCTTAAAAATCAGGTTTAAGCAAAATGTATTGTCATCGTAGTAATGATTATCTAAACATATTATGTACTTTCGTATCAATGCAGTACATATGCTTATCATTCTTACAGTGTTTCTTATTGGAGGTAATTACATATTTTATATACTTTTTCAATTGTAATATAAACTGAATTACAGGCTCCTGACTTGGGACAGGCACAGTTTATTTGAACGTTTGCACAAAGTCGAAAACAAAATTTCTGTGATAATAACATATCATATTCAAACACATACACATGACAGGTATATTGTTATAGAATGGTCAACTGAAGTTCAAATTATTAAACTTTTTTGCAATGTATAGATGCAGTCTATGAATATGTACTTATTTGTTATCGTCGTAATTCCTTAAAACATTGACAATCAAAGCTAGATTAAACATTAAATTAAACGCTTTCATGACTACAGCATACTTAACACTAGTAAATGAAGTTTAGTTTTAAACGGTCATTTTGATCTGAACATCATCTGAAAAACCTGAACAATAAACTATTCAGTCATGTTGAGTCTTTCGGTCAATTTTCAGACTTATCACTGTAGTAAATTCAGTACGGTTCCGACAAGTCACTTGCATTCGATTCAGTACTGTTCAGTAATTTTTAAGACAATTCAGTATGATGATGATGTGTACAGGTAAATAACAACTACTGAACAATCTGAACATAGACTGAACAGATCTGAATTGACTGCTAGTGAATTTTCTGAACAATACTGAATTTACAGCTGTGGATAAGTTTGAAAATTGACTTAAAGACTGAAAAGTACTTGATAATTTATTGGTCAGTCTCTTAGCTGTTTAGGTCAAAATTGGTTTACTAGTGTAAGTGCAATAATACTTATAGACATATGTGCGTATACCTGAACGCCAATATAGTCAAACGCCTTATCTGAACAGAATGAAACGCAGTTTGCTAAATGGTTGTTTGTAATCATTGTTTCCTTTTCTGCTTCTTTCACAATAAAACAACCTGTAATATAAACAAGTATTTTTCACTGACAACGTCAGATCATTCATTTTATACATACTGTCTTTAGAAAAACAACCAACCATTAAATGGACGATACTGCACAAGCAGGAAAAAATTATAAAAGTCTAAAGATGACGATACCAAATAGTTATAAATTAATAAGATGAAATAATGTCGTATTGACAAACATTTCGGCACAACAATTTGCCTTCATCGGTGTCAATCTTTTTTGCCAAATGAAACAATACAATCTGAAAACCCCTATAATTATCTTTATATGAAACCCAATTGTCAGGGTAACTGGGAATCATATGCATGGTGAAGTTAAAGTATTTTTAAGAATCCTCAAGGTACTTCTGGATTTCACAAGTAGTTGTGGTTACTAAATAATAAATCGTTAATAATATACATTTCCAAAACGTAAACAAAAATACCCACCATAATCTAGAGACCATGGTTTATTAGTCAAGACATCAGTTACAGAACAAGATCTAGCAGCATTTATAAATTCAGTCCCATAACTTAGCAATGCTCCACTTATACTTTCACAGTACAATTCTGCATCATTTTTAGTTTCCTTTAGGTGAAATACTTTGAGTGTGGCAAATGTCCCTGAAAAAAAATCATGTATTATACATTAATACCGAATATAAAATAAGGAGATGTTAAACATTAAACCTATTAAACAAAGTAAATTTTAAAGTTTAAATAAAAGGAGATTTTTGGTATACGTAAATGAGTCAGCAACATAACGACATAGACAATCAAAATACATCTACAGGTCAAAACAGTCTCCAACAACAGAAAGGTTCTTTTACAACGTATCAAGCTAGAAATCGTATGAAAAGGTTGTGAATAAGTTAAAAAAAAACATAAGGCATGATATGAGACAAATACTGACAAGGTCCGTGACTTGGGATCTATAGATGAAAATGTACATAAGTGTTTTGAGAACTCAACGCACAACTTGTACGTCAATATTTACACTATCAAGTTATAGTTAATTTTATTAAACTCAAACACATGAATGACCTTCGATTGAACTATTGCTTTTGGTCTGATACAATGATCTGTTCACATAAATGTTGTGAAAAATATTGATATTGAATATAATAAAGTGTGATTATTAAATAAGATAAAGCTTGAAAGTTTTGATGTATTTGTATTTATTGTTCTAAATTATGTAAATATACTGATTCGAAACATAGATACTAGTATATTTCTAATAAATACATGAACATGTTTCCTGTGGGCATCTTTTATTAACAGATGTTTAATTTTATGATTAGAATATGATTATACTTATGATTAGAGCAGCAAAACATCTCTCGACCTTATGATTGAATCTGCCTTGAAGGTTCTATAATATTTGTGTCTAACGTCTGTCAATATTGGTTTCATTTATTCATTTGAACATATTGCTAATATTAAGCGTGAATAACAAATTTACATACCTTCTCTAAAAGAATTTTAAGACATTGTCAAACATATGATAGCATTAAACATGCGTAACGGTATAGGTTTTGGTCATTGTTAAAGACCGTTCGGCGATCGATGGTTATTAACATCCTCACCATTTGGTCTCTCTATATAGTTAATTGATGTCTCAATAACAATTATACAACATCTTATTATATTTATACTGTTAATCCGATACCTTAGCTAAGTAATGATATGATGTCGCTTCGCATACGCATTTAATATGTACAAATGTATATATATGTAGTATTGCTTTGTAGATAATGCTTTGAAGTTAGCATATACCAAATTAAAGGAAAAGGCTGAAATTTGTGTGCTTTACCTTGAGTGTTTCCGGCTAAGGAACGCACATGTAACGGTACATGTAAATTATCAAAACTTTTCAGCATATTTAATTTTTAAAAATGACTGCTGTAAATACTGTGAGTACGGAGGTTAACCTTTAAATTACATTATATAAATATCTAAAGATGCTGCTCTACTTCTACAGCTTTTTGTAAATCAACAACACAATAGTGTTAGAACAATTAACAAACTTGATGAAGACATAATCTTTCAATCAGATTAATTGAGGTCTGGAGCTGGCATGTCAGTAACTGCTAGTAGTCCTTTGTTAATTTATGTATCATTGTCATTTTCCTTAGTTTCATTTGTTACCTATTCTGAAATCGGACTCGGACTTCCTTTGAACTGAGTTTTACTGTGCGTATTGCTATGTGTTTCTTTATTCAACATTGGCTAGAGGTATAGGGGGAGGGTTGAGATCTCACAAAACATGTTTAACCCCGCCGCATTTTTGCGCCTGTCCCAAGTCAGGAGCCTCTGGCCTTTGTTAGTCTTGTATGTTTTTTTTAATTTTAGTTCCTTTATATGTTTTGGAGTTTAGTGTGACGTCCATTTTCACTGAACCAGTACACAATTTTATTTAGGGGCCAGCTGAGGACCACCTCCGGGTGTGGGATTTTTTTCGCTGCGTTGAAGATCCATTGGTGGCCTTCGGCTGTTATCTGCTCTTTGGTCGGGTTGTTGTCTCTTTGACATATTCCCCATTTCCATTCTGAATTTTATTGACTATTTCATTTGTGTTTTCTCCAGTTATTTTTTTCTTTATTTTACAACCATTACATTATAAAGACGATGCATATTAGCAAAGCGATTCTTTATTATTTCAGTAATGTCGATGCGAAACTACGCTTCATGTACGTAAACTAAATATACTTGACATTGTGTTAAAGGCTTCACAATAGGTGATGGTGAATTTTCTGTATAATGATGAACCATTGTCATAAGGTTATGATCGCACCTTAATTGTGTTTCTATAAATGGCAAATATATAAAAAAAACTACACCAAAAATGTGTATTGGACGATGTTATATACATTTCAATTGAAAGAATATTTTTTATCTTTTGTGAGCTCTTGGTATGAACGTTTGAAAATTGTGTTTACGAGGCACGTTTGGAACAAAAGCTAAACATCTTTGACAGGTAAATGAAATTAAAAGGAAATATACGTACCCCTTGTAAGACAACATAATAATAGCACAATTTTCAACATAGTTTCTTTTCTTACGTCAGGACCGTTTTCAACAGAACACACACTTTGAGATAATCATAATAAATCCATAACAATACGATTTGAGGATAGCTGAACACGGTTACATTTTTCGTTAGGTTATAAAATGAATAAATGCAAAAATCAGTGATGATTGTCTTCAGGCAATTCCGTATAAAACGTTGTATTATTCACGAACTACTCCTTTCTAACGAAATAGCTGATAAAATCAGATATTATATGAAGTTACTTTAAATTTATTTATTTTTGATGAATATTTTCCGTGACTGTTGGCAAGATGACATATGTACATTAAAACTGCCGATCAAGCTATATGATACACTTTTGAAATCACTATATTATACTTTAAAACTGTTTCAACATTTTACCGTTTCGTTTGATTTTTTGATAAGTTAAATCCGAGAAAATATAAGATTCAAAGTGCAATAATTTTTTATGGTATATAAAGGATGATCATTTATAAAAGCATTAAAGTCAAACAAGACCAAGAATTTTATCTTAGATATCAAATTTTGAAACTAGACGTTTATTTACAAAAATTAGAATCAGTGACTATAATTTACTTACAGAAAAGGGCAGATATCTGAAAATACCTCGAGACCAAAGAACAAGTCTAACTTGTAAAACCTTAGAAGATGAAAACTACTTTCTCCTCTACTGTCAAATTAATAATATATTACGTAAAAAACTGTTTAATGACATCGCAATAGATAATCCTATATTTCCAAATCTGTCTGATACTGATAAACTAGAAGACCTGCGAAATCCTTAAAAAATAAACCAAGTGAAAAAAACAGGTTCCTTTATAAAACAGTCTTTAGAGCTGAGGACAGGGGACAAGTAGTTATTTTTGCTTGTGTATATATATATATATATAGATAGATTGCCTAACAATGTTATTTTAACACACTATTTAGTATGTAAATATAAGAATGTTTAAAATATATACAAAATGATGAAAATAAACACAATATTTCGCTAGACTAACTAGCTTTATCAAGCGTGCATCTCTCCAGGTGAAATCGGATGTAGATGATAAGAAACTTTTGCATCTACATCCGATTTCACCTGGATAGATGCACGCTTGATAAAGCTAGTTAGTCTAGCGAAATATTGCGTTTATTTTCATCATTTTGTAAATATTATAAACATTCTTATATTTACATACTAAATAGTGTGTTTAAATTACATTGTTAGGCAATCTATAATTTTATTTGTGTAATTGAATTAATCTCTGTACTGATTAATCCACACTCCCATAGATTTGTATGTCATGTGCTGCTATTTATAGGCACTTATATATATATATACTGATTAATCCACACTCCCATAGATTTGTATGTCATGTGCTGCTATTTATAGGCACTTATATATATATATACTGATTAATCCACACTCCCATAGATTTGTATGTCATGTGCTGCTATTTATAGGCACTTATATATATATATATATATATATATATAAGTGCCTATAAATAGCAGCACATGACATACAAATCTATGGGAGTGTGGATTAATCAGTGTGCTGCTATTTATAGGCACTTATATATATATATATATATATATATATAAGTGCCTATAAATAGCAGCACATGACATACAAATCTATGGGAGTGTGGATTAATCAGTACAGAGATTAATTCAATTACACAAATAAAATTATAGATTGCCTAACAATGTAATTTTAACACACTATTTAGTATGTAAATATAAGAATGTTTAAAATATTTACAAAATGATGAAAATAAACGCAATATTTCGCTAGACTAACTAGCTTTATCAAGCGTGCATCTATCCAGGTGAAATCGGATGTAGATGATAAGAAACTTTTGCAGCTCAATGTATATGTTGCACTTGAATTTAGCTGCCTTGAAAATAATACATAATTTGGATGAAGTTCAAGATTTTTACAAAATTGGTAGTTGAAGTTAGCAACGTCCATTGGCCAATATTACAGGATAAAAAGGACGATGCTGTGTACTAAATTATTCTTTATCTTTCCTGTATCTTTTCTCATCTTTTTCGTTAAGACCATCAGGTTCTAAAGTGTGGAGTTGGTGGATCCAAAAATTTTGGAAAAACGCCTCTTGGCTAGTGCTCCATACCAGCCCTTATCATGGTTCCGATTCATTGACGATATTGATTTCAAATGGACAGATTCACAAGAACATCTTAATGAATTTCTAGGACACTGTAACTCTTTCCACCATTCAATAAAATTTACATATGAATCATCTATGGAGAAAATAAACTTCCTCGACACTACGAGTTACATCAAGAACGGAACCATTATAACGGACCTCCATACCAAACAAACGGACAAACATCAATTCCTTTCTCCTAAAAGTTGCCATCCTAAACACTGCTCCCGTGGCATCCCATTCAGCCAGGCATTGCGAATCAAGAGAATATGCTCTACTGAAAATACGCAAAATGCTAGACTTGGACAACTACGTAAACATCTAGTTGTTCGAGGATACAATAACAACATCATTGATAGCGCTTTCGAAAGAGCAAACAAAACTAGTCGCCAAGAACTTCTAGAGTACAAAGATAAGAATAAAGCAGCTAACAGAACACCCCTTGTACTCACTTACCATCCTGATTTTAAAAATGTGTCTTCCATTGTTCAGAAGCATTGGAAAATTATAGAAAATGATTCAAATCTTAAAAAAGTATTTTCCTCACCACCAGTCATGGCCTTCAGAAGACCTAAAAACATCCGTGACAAATTAGTGACATCTGTATTAGCAAAGCAGCCTACTCCATCTCCCGGTTGCTACAAACAATGTGGTCGAAGGAACTGCTTGTGTTGTAAAGCTGCCAATACAAGCAGTTCTTTCATCAGCTCCGTTACTAAACAAAATTATACCATCTACTCTAATTCCAACTGTAAAACGGAGAACTCAATTTATATATTAATACTCGTTCTCTGTAACCACTTAAACTTTTTCGGCACACATAGTCACCGATCTTTCTGAAAATTGGCTGATATGTAGATCCTATTAGACTAGTCAGAAAAATAATGTCAACCGATATATATATTGGTTGGTTACCATGGTAACAGCAGAGAAAGTTGGGATTTTTGAGAAAAATACAATATTTGGTGTAGTGTTGTGAAATTATGCGGCTACATCTATTAAAAAGAAACACAAAAACAATTAATTTCATTCTTGTTTTAGTCAAAATTCAAAAAAAGTTATGGGGAATCTACCTAGAAACATGCGAAATTAATTTCTAAAAAATGATTATTGTGCAATTTTCCACACAATACGAATTATCTCCCTTTGATGGGTTACACTAATGACTGGACCAAAACGAAAACGCTAATAACTCTTTTATTTCTCAAAGGATTTATGTCAAATTTGAATTGTTATAAATTTAGACCATTCAATACATAAATATAAGAAAAAAAAATATAGAAAACTTTTTTATATCTTCATTAAACGTGACCTGACCAACACTGACAATGCCAGGACCAAATGAAAATGCTAATAACTTTTTTTATTTCTTAAAGGGTTTATGTTAAATTTGAAAAATAATAAAGTTTAATCATTTAATATATAAATTAATAAAAAAATATAGAAAAAAAAAAAATATTCAGATAACGTGACCTTTCTAACGTTGACAATAACCTGACCAACAATAGCAATGACCTGACCGATGAAAATTTCTGTTATTTTATATTATTAAAAAAAACAGGAAAAATATATGTTTTTGGTAAAAAAAAACTTGACCTGACCAACGTTGACTGTGTCCTGGTCGTTGTACTACCTAATACTTATTTATATCTTATTGGATTTTCGTTAAATTTAAAAAAAAAAAATAGAATTAAGATTGAATGGTAAAAAACTGGAAAAAAAAGGTTAGGGTACTATGACGAGCACCGAATTATTTAAATTTTTATGGTATTGAGTAGTATATTGTATTTAACTGTGTTGTAAAATATGTTGTATATTACCGGTTTTAATTTGATACGTTTGCTCACAAATATAAAGTAACTCAAAAGGTGTGATTGAAGTAGGCCATACATACATGTAAGTTAATAAATCCAATAGAGTTTGTTTTATAATATTTTCTAACAGTAAATAGTTATTTCCACGTACTACTTAAGGCATGCGCGAGCCTTGTGCAGGATATCTTGGCAGTTTTTAATATTTTCATAAAAACAAATACACATTTCGCAGACTACTTGAGGTATGCCCGAGCCCCTGCATGCACAATATCTTTGTAGTTTAAATATTTTCATAAAATATAAGTAAACATATTCGCGGACTTAACTTGAGGGTTACCAGAGCCTTGTGTTAGTTTTAAATGTTCCCGAAAGTTTATAAAGCATTTCATATTTTCTTATTTGATAAAATTAATGGTTCAATCTAAGTGTTTCTATAAATTTGATGCAAAGCCTATTACATTTAAATAGGTATAAAGTCATTTTTCCTGGTCATGACAATGGTCAGAATGTAGGACAGAAAGTCACAGACAAAAAGTCACAGACAAAAAGTCGCGGACAAAAAGTCATATGTATAATATGTTATAAACATAGACTTCTGCTTCAAAGTAAAATCTAAATTTTTGTTGTTTAAAGAAAGACAATTATATACTAATTTTGAGAAACATCTTTCTGTAATGGGCTTTCAGTGGAAATCAAAGTATATGTACATGCATATAATTTTTTTAAAGTTACCCTGTGTAAAGAGTTATCATATTGTCAATATTTTTTAATTTGCTGCTTAAAATCCATTAAGATTACTGTTATTTTCTCAAATTTTATTAATCCAATGCCTTTTACTAATGCAAATATAGTGCTACCAAAGGCGGATCCAGGGGGCCATGAGGGCCCGCCCCTTCCTTTCATTGGAAACATTTGGTTGATTACATATGTAATCACTAAAGCATGAATGTAGCGGGCATCTCTTAAGGCAGTCAGTGGTACCCCTGGTATGACAATTGTCTATATGGTATATTTTCCCCCTGCTGCTCGTTGTAAGACCAGCAGTCACCCGCTGACCGATTTTCCGTGGGTCCTCTTAGGGAAACGGAACTTTTTGGAAAATCTCGAAAATTTCTCCCCGGCCAGAATGTCAAACAAGAAATGTGTCGGATGAATAGCAGGGACCATCGGGTCGACGGCCGACTGTACCCGCCCTTGCTT